TCCTCCAGGTCATCCTCATCATCTTCACCATCCTGATCATCAGTTCTGCTCTGGTCCAAAGAGGGTAGTCCATCATCCAGAAGTTCACGGTTTTCGGACCATTCAGTCCACTTCTCCACCCAACAATCCTCATCCTCCAGCCAAGCATCCCCTAGTTTCCATGGAAAATGAAGTAGCAATTTTGCATAGCAGAAGAGGGGATAGGTGTCTTCATTTTCAGGGTCTGGGTGTAGGATTGGATACATGATGGTGACCCGTTCCTTTGCAGCATTTGCACGCTCTGGATTTTCTCCACGTGCTCTATAGCTGTGAAGATCATACCTTCGCAAAAATGTTATGTAGGGAAGATCCTCAAGACCCTCAGGACGTGAGCTGTATTTCTCCCTGAGTGTCTTGAACTCTCTTGTTGCATTTTCAAAGTCAAGGGGGAGTGAGGGTCTTGGGGAAAGTGGGACAGATATGTAGGAGCGTGTAGAATGGTGCATCTTCAAACCATGAAGAAGGTGGCAGACCTCTTGAGCAGAGAAGTCTCGCTCAGTGATGAGGGTCTGGAGTAATTTCAAATATACCCCTTGCACCCTGTCTGAAGCATCAGACTTGTCAAGGATGGTTTGCAGGACTTCATCATATGCTCGAGATTTTGATTCAGCCTTTGTGACATATTTTGCAGCATATGCCAGGACAGCACCAAAACTTGTCACAGGATGGAAGTCAATGTTCCCATGCCAACCCAGGATGACAGTGTCATTGTAGGAGTTCAAGATTGGATCATTTCTCCTTGTACAAAGATCAATAATCCCTTTCTCATTATTGACAACCCTAGTGAGTTCTTCAAGGTCCTTTGAAAAGCCAAACCGACACTGGACTTCCTTTGTGTGCTTGTTTTGTCGTGAACAATATGAGGAAGGGCATTTAGAATGGCGTTGAACCCGGTTGAGGAGTTCTGCAAGTTCCTTGTGGGTGTCTTCCAGTGAAGGGTAGGATAGGGAGGATGCATGTTGATGGGAGAAAGCATGTACATCGGGATTCCAGGTTGACACAATTGGATCCCAGAAAGAAATGAAGTTCTGGATTGTCTCCTGATTATTGAGGTCCAAATCCTCAACAGATGGTGCATTCTTCAACCAGATGAAGCCATGTACATGGCTACTCCCCCTAAATTGCCACTCATAACTAAGGATTTCATAAGAATTAGACAATGAAGCCAAGTAAAAAGTTGAATTAACATACCGCCACCACATGTCAGCAATTTGGAACTTTTTTTTGAGGACCAAATCAACAAACAATTCCCATCTCTTCACAAAGTAGTATGCTGCAATGGCAGGATTGTCATTCAAGTCCTCTCGCCTCTTCCTATAGGCTGCCTGCTCCCCAACATCCTGTGATTCTGCTCACTGTGGCATGTGCTGGTGGAGGTCTGGCCATTGGAGATCTGCAGCTGAGGCAGTTATGAATGCATGAGGTGAATGGAGCTGGTACATCATGGCAGTGAGTTCACGCTGACGTGCCATCCAAAATGGTTTGGTTCCAGCAAGTTTCACCCCTGATCTGGAGACACGCTTTGCAAGTTCCCTCAGCTGATCAGGCCCAGCATCTGCCACCATCTCCCTTATCTGCTCCACTGTCCACTGCCGTTCATCTGGGTGAGTGGTAAGATACCATGAGGAGTCCTTTTTGGCCTGAGTGCGCATGATGGTGTTTAATGCCCAATAGCGAAAGCGAGGGTGCCTTGCAAAACGACCATCTTCATAGCGCATTAGGTGTGAAGCCCATTCAGAGAATGAGACTGGTTTTTGATGGGGAGTGTGAAAGTCTGCCTGGCCAGAAGGAAAGAGACTGGGGAAAGCCCTTGAGGCAATAGGGTTGTTATGCCATTCACTCACTGGCTGAGACTCAATGTGTGGCATGAGAATAGGTTCTTGTCCCACTTGTGCTGCCAAGCGCAAGTTTTGGAACTCAGAGACTCGCTCCTCATTCACATTTGGGACAAACCCTGATGTGAAAAGTGCCCTCCCCCCATTGTACCATCAGTTTCATCCCCATTTGATGGCCCTACAATATCATCACCCCCTCCTTCATCACCCACTTCACTGATCCTAATGGACTGCAAATGTCCATGGACACTGCCACTCTCTGGGAGTTGGGAAAGATTCTCCTGACTAATTATGACTTGGTGATATGCTGGGTGGTGCTCAACAAGCCATTCTAACCACTGCTGAACAACTTGGCGCCGGACATAGTAAAGATGCTGAACATCATGGCCAAGGACATGGTCTGGGCCTTCCCGTTGGATCTGTATGACCTCACACTCCTCAGGCAGGATGGGAAGCAACTGGCGAACTTCAGATGTATCACGGACAAAGTTGCAAATATGTCCAGAATATTTCATCTGTCCACCATACACAGTGTGGGCTTGCATGACAACATGGATAGGGGCAATCAGCATCTCCTCAATTTGTGTAAGCTCCAAGGAAGGATCATCCAAGACAAACTGTGGCTTGGGGCCAGGGTCCATGGAATTTTCTGCTGTGTACTTGGTGTCCTTTTTACACCTCACACAACAACCATTCTTGACTTTCAAGTCAAACCATGTCTCATGGCAGTTATTGCAGTGCTCCATCTGAATCTTCATCAGCTCTTCCCGGAACTTTGCCAACAGAGCCTGATCTCCTGGAGATACCGCAGATCAAAATCCCCTCCTCAAATCCTCATCATTGAGCCCTTGATCCCACTGTGAGTCTGATAGGGATGGTGGTGGGGATGGAGTCAGGGGAGAAGGTTCAGGAGAGGACTGTTCTGGTGATGAAACTGGAGATGGAGGGGGAGGTGAAGATCGATCTGCCATTTGCTCCTGGACTGCCCTCTGGCGAGCCCTCCTGTGATGATCCTCATCAACACACCTCCGACACCTGTTCCTATCCCCATCAAATGCAGAGACAGGTGCATTGTGGCCACGATTGCATTTTCGCATTGGCTCCGGAGGATTGGGCACAGGAGATGAAGGGGGAGGTGAAGATTGAACTGCCATTTGCTCCTGGACTGCCCTCTGGTGGGCCCTCCTGCGATGATCTTCATCAATACACCTCTGACACCTGTTCCTATCCCCATCAAATGCAGAGACAGGTGCATTGTGGCCACGATTGCATTTTCGCATTGGCTCTGGAGGATTAGGATCTTGAAAGGGATCTTGAGATGGCTCCTGATAGTGACTTTGAGGCAGAGATGGGAGTCCAGGAAGAGAGAGGGGTTCAAGACGCCCAGGGAGCGCATACATGCCATCATCAGCCCCACCTTGAGCTGGAGACCCAACACGAGTCCTCTGGTGCTGTCTACGTGTCTCTTCAGGAGTGTGTGAGAGACATTCAGAATGAAGTCTAGGGCCAGTAGAGTTTGGTGGAGTGATTTCTACACAGAAAAGTCATTCTTCATATCCTGCTGACAACAGAACACAACATACGTGGTGTACTCCTAGGTGTTTCTGGGGCTTTGGACCCAACTTGAGACTGAACATTCAGTTCTTGAAGCCCAAGAGCAAGTTGTGTCCCAATAGATGGATTTCGGTTATGTTGGGGTCTCTGTTGAGATGGCCCAGAAGAGTTGGGTGGTTGTTGGGACAGCTCGGCAGGGGATTGTGGTACAGCAAAAGTAGATTGGGAATGATTTGGAGTGGGAGACTCAGTTGAGTGTGGTGAACCCTGGCTAGCTGCATAATTCAACCTCCTCCTCTCATTTCTTCTCTTCTTCTTCTCTGCAAGGAGCACCTCATCCTCAGTGGGCATCTAAAATTTATTCAAGTTATGTAAGTCTTAAGATGTCAATTATAAATATTGCTGCACCCACAGTTTCAATGTGCACACCAAATAAACAGAAAAGGTCACTGTAAAGGCAAAATACCCTATTACAGGCAAATTGAATAAATTTCCTATCGTGAAGCAGGGAACAGGCTCGCTGCACAAGTTGACCAAATGGAGCAAGGCTGGCGCATTTCCCAAAGGGAAAAAGGGGCCAGGAATCCTGGCAACTTGCAGGCTCTGAGCGGTACTGGTCTTAACTGCCGAACTGATCCCAGTCTGTGCGGGCTAACACAGGGGCTGAGGGGCAGGGGTCGCACTTCAGAGACCTTTGAACCCTATAGATCTACTTCAGATAGTACTATTCACACAAAGTCCTAAGCCCAGGGCACTCAAGACTTCACAGGATGGGATGGGATGGGGTAGCAAGGAGTTGCACAGAGTGAGAGAGAGAGCTGCAGTAAGTGCGCGTGTTTTCAGCACAGCCACATTTTCGCGGAGTGCCATCTCCTCTTGTGTTGATAAAGCCAATCACTACATAAAGCTTAAATTTCACACCAGTTTAACAGATATGAAGCTTGAATAATAATAATGATTTTTTTGTATTTTTGTGTGCAAGGAGTTGCAGAGAGAGAGAGCAGCAAGCAGTACGCATGTTTGCAGCACAGCCACATCCTCGCGGAAGTGCCATTTTCCCTTGCCTTGATCAGGCTAATCACTACATAAACCTAAATTTCACACTAATTTAACAGATATAAGGCTTTAATTATAATTGTGATTTTTCTGTATTTTTGTGTATATTGTATGTTTTGTCCAGTGTTGCACCATTGCACACACACAGTGCACGGTTGAGATGTGCATTTGGATCCGATGTCCCACGGGGTGACGATTTCTCACGGGGTGACGATGCGCAATTCACAACGCGCTTTCCCACGGGAAAAAAAAACGAACCCCCTCTGTAAACAAACGCCTCGCAAGCTCGGCCAATAACGTGTCGTTCTCCGAAATCATCATCGGCGTATGGATCAGTGTATCAAGCTAGGCAAGCCAGCGAACGCACACCGATTATGCAATATACCCCGAGGCTATTTTTGTTATGAGGGTTCCCCTCAAACTGGAGGTAAAACTGATCTCCAATACCACTTCAATTCAGCCAGCTGAAAAATCTTTCTCCCCAACACTCGCTGCATTATCGTCTCGCCGTTCACAAGCACGCAAAACTTTCCAAATAGTTCAAAGTATCATGTATCCCCAATAAGACTGTACACCGTCTGAATTCTACTTAGAGAACGCTTGGGCTTGTAATGTATAGAGCTTTGCATAGCCTCCATCCGGTATACTCATCAGTTCTTGATGCGTCCCGGCTTCCGCGATGGTCGAGTCTTTCATGAACCTAGAAGAATCCCGGGTCAGTCCAGAGGACTCCACTGTGCAGCAAGATCACAAACAAGATTATATCGGCATATCTGGTGAGATAGCCAAAACGATGGGTGCTGAAGATCATGGTTTTATTGCCTTTAAGCACTCGGAGCCGTTCAAATAGATCTTTGGGGACGTTAATTCATTTTCGTCCCTTCGTATCTGATAAATGTGAGTGACAGGCTTACCAAATTCCGCTTGCGGATCGAGCGCCGCACTGGGTTCGTCGTAAACCAAGAGCGAAACTTCTTCAGGCTTGCGCATAAACGTTCTAGAGCTAAGATGCGGATGCATTTCAGTCTTTGGATTCGGTGACAAGGAATAGACCCACAGAGCCAACCGTTGCTTCTGGCCTCCGCTAAGATTTGTTCGTGTATCTTTCGAACTGAGGCGAATATCTTCTGGAATGGCATAAAAGATGTCGTTTGCTTCGGGTCCAGAAAAGGAAAAGTACTGTCGAAGATGACTCAAGTTCGTGTCCTCTTTCATGGGAAGTTCATTAACGAATCCTTCGGCTCCGCCCAGCTTCAGGGCTTCACGCACTTGCTCATCTTCATATTCTATGGTATTGCTCCCTAGACGGATACCTTCTTTGATCTAAGGCGGTTTTATCACACCAATGATCCTAGGTGATCAAAGCAACATACCGTCATCGGAAAGGTTTGGAAGTCCTGAAATAGAACATTGAGGGACTTCCGAAGATCCAACAGTCGGTAACGGTTTATCGGTAGGTTGTCTAAGTATATTGTGCCTTCTGTAGGATCGAAGAGCCTTGGCAAAAGCTTCAGTATAGAGCTCTTCCCTTCCCCGTTCATTCCGACAATTACACAAAGACCGCCCGCTTTGATATCAAAATTGACGTTCTTGAGGGCGAATGAGTCAGAGCCAGGGTACCTAAACGACACATTCTTGGAGCAGTGTGGAGCACGAACTATTGAGTATTCGGTGTATGCTTACTTCGAATCTAACAGAGACCCCTTCTCCCGGCTTCACGCTTGAAGGGAATCGCTCCGTACCGTCTTGCACTTGATTAGGGATGGAAGCAAGCTCGTAGAATTCCTTGATTGACAGGAGCAAATGATAGAAAGAAGATTGATCATGATACATCCTCAACATTAGGGAAGTAACTGTCAGCATTTGGTCTTGGACGACATTGAGGGCGACAAGAGAGAGAGGAATGTCGCGAGGAGTACGAAGAGCTTGCAAGGCGAACGCAACCTGTGTTTCCAGATAAATAATTCGAGTGACATAAACACATGTGTGTCCATACTTTAGGGAGCTCTCCACAAACGTCCTGGAGCAAGCGAATGAATATGCCCCTGTAGCTCGGCGACCTGTGTTTCTCCCACACCTGGTCTGGAAGGAGGGGTGCATGCTTGGGCATGGTCTCCACGAAATCTGATCATGAACGGCGGTGTCAGGGTAATCGGATCGCTTCGTTCATCCGATGGATGCACACCTCGCTTGATGTGTTGGCCGTAGTTTCCAGCAACAAGCTCTTGACGGAAGGGCGAAGGATTAAAGCACACGATGGCCTTGCGCTCAGCATGTATGTCTGGCGTTGGGTCCGTTCTTCTTGCCACGAACGCTGATCCGTTGCCGAAACGCATCAGGTGGAGCACAATCACCGTGAATGGTCAAAAATTTACATTCGGGGCCCAGAAGCTGCAGGTACCACTTCAGAAGCAGTCCAACAAAACTCCAAATAGCCAAATGGTAAGTCCCAGGGTTATTTTTCAGTAATCCGCGGAGTACAAAGAGTTGGGAACCCAGTTGTACCACACTCCCTGCTGTGTTTCTAATTATGTTGACAACATCCAAGGAGCGGCTTGATGTGAATGCCGCTGAAACTTGGACGCAACCCCAGGATCCTGGGAGGTTGGGAGGTCAAGTCTGAGAAAAGCTTGCATCGAACCTCAGTGAATAACACCAAGTAAACTTGAAATTGTCGCTAACCATCGAATAGATACAGATCGAAGTGGAGATTCACTTCTCTCTTCACTCTTTCCGAGATATTGTACGTAGATAGGACACTTCTCGTCAGATTGCAAGCTCCCACACCGACGGTTGCCCACAAGAAAGCCGTTTGATCTAGTTCGCGTTGGTCAATGGAGTGTCGAAACTATCACGAAAGAAAGGATGTGTAAGAAGTCCATTTTACGACAGGCAAACAAGCGCTCACGATCTCAAACAAAGCCACTGAGAAATGGAGATTTACCGCAGGAATGAGGGCCTCCAAGACACCTGATATTCTACGCCATATTCATTTCCATAGGTAAGTATGGACTGGAGGGGGACATACATAAAAATAACCCAAGACCAGGGACATATCCAGTACAACTCGCGTAGCCGCAACAGATACGGAAACAGGTCTATATATTTTCGAATGGGTTTTCGCGACTCCCGAGTATATTCTTCCTACAATGTGCCTCTTTAGTCTTCTTGGAGTTTCCCAGATACCAAAACTGATAGCCATCCTTTACGAGAGTTGAGATTTGATCAGAGCTGAGGGGCGATTGTTTGCTCTGACGCGGTTGTCTGTAATGGCTCTGCTCATTTGCTCAACTTGGAACAGCTGCCAAAGTAGAAACAATGAAACTACCGGTTCAGTGGACAATGCGAGCTGACGTAGGCAGGTGACCACAAGGTGACCGCCTGAGTTGACGTACCGTACTATGTAGCTTGCTGCTGCTTGGCGCCGTCTTCAGGTCCCGTGATTACTTGGCTTGAGGGACTGAGTCATTCACCTTGAGGCCACCCTCTCATCCCAAGACCAATATGGAAGATCTGTCTAGTTTACTTAATACAGCGCGCGAACTCACGTCGCATGTCGCGAGATCAGACTTGCCTCCTGTTAATCTTTCATTGGAGCAAATCGAAGCTCAATCGAGACGACTAGGGAGGCAGCAAGCCCACACCCCGGATAACGGCAAAGGGTTGGAGATCTTCACTTATTCTTCCTATCACCTGCTCAGTGCGCGTCCCTGTCATGTAGGAGCTACTTGCTTGCTAAAGCCAACGTCGACGCCCCGGCACTCGCGTCATCGATTGCCACTCTGAACACGGCTAACACTTTTCTTCCACTCAACCCACTGAATGACACGGATGTTTCCGGCTATCTCAAGCATGCTTACGAGCAAACACTGATATCAACTATTGAAGAAGGGAGACGGCAAACCGAACAAGAATTTTACCAAAATCTTGAGTTGAGGGCGCGTAAAGATTGGGAAGCGCGGAAGAAGCGCATCTTTGAAGAACTGGGAGTAGGCCAGGGTCCTGCCGAAACCGAGGGTGGAGACCGTGAGGGTAGAGCGCGATTTGCTGGTCAACATGCGGGGATGAGGAGCAAGAAACTCTTCGGCGCGTCCGTAAGTGTTTCTGCCTCTGGCGTTCGCCTACACTGATCTTTGGCTGTCACGATAGTATGTTGCTCCCCCAGCTCAATCAATAACAATGAACACGAAGTTTATGGCGTATCTTCGTGTTGTTTCGGAGCTCAACTCTCATCGCTTGGCAAGCACATCCTATCCACTCCTTGCCAACTTAAGCGAGGCCGCACGAGCAATTAGTGAAGATGTGAGCCCCCTGAAGGTCCCTGTATGCATTCGCTTACGCTCTCACTCAGGCGCTGAGAATAACGCACACCTACGATATCCTCACTTCCATCACTGGCGAACGACCAAAACTTCCACCGTCACATACCCAAGCTCATATCCTGAACTCCGCTGTCCTTGAAAGAGCATATGCTCGTGCTTATCTTGGCTCTCAGGAGTCTCAGGAAGCACTGGAACTGCGGAAGAGAATTGCTGAGGGCTCGCGAAGAGCCTTAGAATTCCAGTGGGTCGCCTGGAATATTTGCCATTTCAGCCTTAACCCTAATATTGTAAGGTATTGGGAGATTGTTGAACGCACTATCCAGCAAAACCCAATAGATGCTGGCCTTGGAGGTGATCCTTCCCCGGCGAACAAGACTCGTGCTTTCTTGAATGTTCAGTTCTATAAGAACGGTGCCTGGGATAGCCGTATTAGTGTAAGGAGGCGCTGATTACGGACTTCACGATACTAACACGTCTACACAGTTGTTGGCTGGGAAACCGCTGTGGGCCATCCTGTACTACCTCGTCCGAACGGGGCATTTAAAGGAGGCTATTGAAAGCGCCTCACAACATGCCACCATCTTGAATAGTCAAGAGGAACTTTTCACCACCCTTCTGCAGACATGGGCCGAGTCCCCTGATAGAAGGTATTGATTGTTGTATATTTGGTTCCCTACGCCGGGCTTACCTATCATAGACTACCATTAAACCTTCGGGAGCGTTTGCTTGCCAACTACAACTCGCACGTACTGCACGCGCGAGACGTCGATCCATTCAAGTTGGCACTCATCAAGCTAATAGGGAGGATCGATCCGCAACGACGCAACATTCCACTGGTCATTGCTTCCACCGAGGACTGGGCTTGGTTCCAGCTGGCTATGGCGAGTTTTCGATACCGATTTAGGGTTTAGACAGGTTCTGATCGATTCCCAAGATTGACGAAGAAGCTGTGTCTTTGAAAGACTTCGCACAGTCGCTTTTAACCTATAAAAAATCACATTTTGAACCCGAAGGAAAGCCACGGAGGGGCATCTGGGCATGTCTTCTTCTCATATGTGGTCTCTTCGAGCAAGTGAGCTGTTTTCACGAACAGCAACATCAGTTACTGATAAATTGTAGGCAGTTGCGGCTCTATATGAGATACCAGAACTACAAGTTGAGGCAGTTCACCTCGCCATTTCCCTGTCGTATTACGGTCTCCTACGCGTTCCCAGCAAAGCCGAGTCCTCTGATGTTGAGATTTGTGAGTGCGAAAGCTTTTCATGGAAACTTCATATGCCCAACATCGGAACTAGTGATCACATCTCCCGTACGACCAGCAATGCTTAATTTAGCTCTCCTCGTCAGCCGGTATATAAGGCAGTTTCAACGAACTGATCCCAAGGAGGCCTTGCAATATGTATACTGCATCACTCTCAATTCAGACAAGAGCAGTAGCCTGGCTCCGAAGCAAAATCCTTCCAGCCGTGAACAAGTTGAAATTGCTCGGCAACTTGTCCAGCGCGTCATCCTTGGTTGTGATGGCAAATGGGACGACCTTGTTGGAGCTTTTCGAGAAGATGGTACTAAAATTGTACGTTACTCCCTATTCGTGTGGTTTCCTAGTTGTTCTAGCTCATTGCCTCCTAGCCGGGGATACTCGAGCGCAGCTTGCCTTTGCTGCACCTGGGCTCACTTGCAGAGTACCACGAAGCGGTCCTGCTGCCAGCTGCTGATGAATGCGAGCAAGAAGGCAAGCTGGTTGACGCTATTAAACTGTACAATATCGCCGGTGCCCACGATACGGTTATTGCTTGCCTTACGCGTGCCCTTGGGAACGTTCTCTCTGAGCCAATGGGCGGAGAAGGCGATTCCCTAGAATCGCTAACTCGAAACATTCTCGACCATTATTCGCGTAGAGGAGATGCCATCGGGCCAAAGCGCCAGGATCTTATGTGCCTTCTGAAAGTAAGAGAAGCTGGAGTTGCCTACGATGACAAGCAATATGAAACGGCACTTGCGGTAAGTTCATTGTATGTGATCTTTACTGATCTCATCACCACAAAAGGCAATCGAAGCTTCAGGATTGATTCCGTTTGATGGGGATGTGCAGGCCATCACACGGAAAGCCGACTCCTTCAAAGAGAACGACGAAGCGATCACGATGAATTTGAGCCATATTCTGTTATTGGCCATGAACATATTACATGGGCTACATGGAAAGGTCAAACATGCTATGCATGGAGACAACTCTCGCACAGCAGTATGTGTTTCATTTTATGAGAATGACTTCTGCCCACATACTCATAACCAATCCAGGCATTAGCAGAGATCCGAAGAAAGTCTCGTGCACTGATGATGTTCGCGAGCATGCAACGATATCGTATGTCAGCGGACGTGTATGGCCAGCTAACACGACTGGATGTAGCTGTGGCGCATTGATTTGGGACATCTCCAGTTGTCTTGACCCATCTTGTATTTAATCTTGTTGTGTCAAGAAGGAAATGAATTATTCACGCGTGTTTCCCGAACGAAGGATGTTGAGTCCAACGACCTCTCAACTTCTTCAAGCCTTCTTCGCCACCAGTTATGTCTCTTCGATCTATGTTCATCCCGATGGCCGCCTGAAGTTCGAGATAACACCTCGAGGGAAAAAATCTCCTACGAGAACAAGGAATGACCCTCTCGTGATCCGCACCCGACTAACCGCTGTCGTGCTCGCCACCATTGTGAGCTGTGTGGTGGTCATTACCACAGTATTCGCCACACTTCCCAGTGTAGAAAAGGTATTTTGCGGTTGACCCACTCCATCAAGCTAGTTACCGATAAGATGTTCTAGACGTTGCCGAATGCTTTGACGCAGGCATGGTCACTTTTGGGATTGAAGCCCTCATTCACTACACCCCGCATCATACTACCATATCTCCTCGTCCCAGTGCTCTACAGTGGCCCTCTATTTACTTCCTTTCTTGCGTCAGCTCTTCCTTTCCAGCGTAAATTCTCATTCGAGCTTGACGTGGTCAATACATACTCAAGCTTACAGGGATTACGGAACTACATAATAGTGGGTTACGCGAACTGCACCCGGTATACAGCCAGTTCCAAATACTTATAGGCGCCAATAACGGAAGAAATTGTGTTCCGAGCCTGCATTCTTTCTGTATCGAGGATGGCAGGTGCTTCTTGGCAAAGAATGATTTTTGTGACCCCCCTTTGGTTCGGAGTTGGTGCGCCTCCATTATCGCAATATCCTAGCGCGTCCTTATTTGTTTTCTAGCTCATGCTCACCATGCTTGGGAAGGGTTTAACATGTACGGAGGCACACAGCGAGCTCTCGGGAATGCCGTTGCAACCTCAAGTATGCCTCTGACGCCACATGCCACTCCATTTTATTGATCATTCCTATCTCTTCTTAGTCATACAGCTCTGCTATACAACTCTGTTCGGGTGGTATACCTCCTTCGTTTTCCTGCGGACAAGGTCGATCTACGCCGTTTGTGCCGCACACATGTTCTGCAACTTTGTGGGTCTTCCAACAATTAGCGGAGATTTGAAAGATTTCCCTCGGCATAAGCTAAGTACGTGATTAGTCCGCAAGCCGCGGTTTAAACTGAACATCGACATCTCCTAGTGATTTGGTGTTCTCATATTGGAGGGATTGTAGGGTTTTTCCTGCTCTTAGGTCCATGGACCGCTGGGTTGTAGACCGCTCCATGTATTGTAGTGATGATTTATGTTATTGTTGGATGTTCTCAACTTCAAACTTGATTGTGGAAGTCAAGCAATTAGCAGTCTGAGCCTTGATCGACGATCACTGCGGAAGTCACGGGACACAACCTATGCGTTGCGGCACAGCTGAAGCCTGAAGCCTCACTTAGTTCTACCCGCCGTTCCACTACTTTCTCTTTATTGCTACAATTCATCAACACTGCAGCCATCCATAGCTCTTTGTTGTAGTTTTTATCAATGTCTCCTCCCCACTATGATTTTCTGATTAAGGTGGGAACCGCGTTGTTGAAGGGGTCCTGCGCTAACTTTGGCCTTCCAGCTTCTCCTCATCGGCGACTCTGGTTAGCCTATTAGGACATTAAAGTGTTTTAAACATGTGCTCAGGAGATTGTTTGTTGCCCCATTGCAGGTGTTGGAAAGTCCTGTTTGCTTCTCCGGTTTTGTGACGACGCGTGGACTCCCTCCTTTATTACGACTATTGGCATTGATTTCAAGATTCGGACCATTGAACTTGATGGGAAGCGTATCAAACTGCAAATCGTCTGTATCCATTGCTTTCTTGGACCAGCTCCTCCTGACCCGCAGTTCCTTACCACCCCACTCTGCATCTGTAGTGGGATACCGCAGGACAAGAGCGATTCAGGACTATCACGACAGCATACTACCGAGGAGCTATGGGGATCCTACTAGTATATGATGTGACTGACGAGAAGTCGTTTAACAGTGCGTATTCAGTTTCATCGATACGCGAGGCTATAACAACCCTCGTCTCAGACATTCGTACATGGCACTCCAATATCGAGCAACATGCATCGGAAGGCGTTAACAAAATTCTCATTGGTAACAAGTGCGATTGGACGGAGAAGCGTGCCGTTACCCAGGAGCAAGGCCGTGAGCTGGCACAAGAATTGGGAATCGACTTCATGGAGACCAGTGCGAAAGCGAATGAGGGGGTTGAAGAAGCGTTCTTTTCACTCGCAAGGTTCGCTAAGTTGATTCAGCCCCGGTTTCACTACTAACCCGATGAACCTGCAGGGCAATCAAAACTCGCCTCATCGATTCACAGCCGCAGAGTTCGACGGTCGGGCAGCCAGGTTCATCAGATAGCCTAAGGGTTGGACAGGGTAACACTCAAAACTACTCGTCTTGCTGCTGAGAGTATATTTGGGCTTGCTTCCATGACGTATTCATCTCTCCCTGTATCATACATCACCGATACATAGTTGTTGAATATTGTCCGATCTTCCCGGAAATTAGACGGCTGCATTCCAATTCCCTCCCCACCACCGCTTCGTACGCTCACCGCCGAACTCAAAGTATTCGTCTTTAGACGTGCTGGCATCTGTATAACTGCTGCTACGAGCAAAGGATGCCATCCCTTTCCAGGCATCGATTCGGGGATCTGATGCGAGACGCACTGTAAAGGGAGTATCGGGAGCAAGAATAGGCCGCAGAGAATTCTGCAGGCGCTCAGTGAACCCTGGCATCATCGCTGGCCCACCCGTCAGAAACACATCCTTGGAACATGCTCAGTCGATTGTGATTCGTAGAATGTGGTAGGGGTAGCATACCTTTACAATGCGGCTTCGCTCTTCTGCTGCAAAACTTTTGAGAATATTCTCAATTAGCTCACTCAGACCAGCAGAATCCACCCCTGCGGCGCCTGGTCCGAACCAAGCCTCGGGTACTCGCCACCGCTCGATGTTGAGGTGCACTCGATGGATGCCCTCAGTGTCTCCTTCCTCGTACTTGGGTCGAAATGCGGACATCAATGCTGAGCGCCTTGTTGTAATAGCCGAGTAGGTGTCAGCAGTGGTAAATGAGGGATCATGGCTCAACAGTTTCGACTCGATTGTCGTGAGAGTTGCGAGATCCTCTTCCTCTTCGTCCGACGCGTTTTCCAAACTCTATATCAATGAGTCTCATTGACCTGCAGCGACGGTTACGGAGTCACGAACAAACCTACCACTTGACGGTAAATGAGCCAATCGTCATCATTCTCGCCGAACATGTCCTCTGCCACATTCCATGAGTCGATTTGAGTAGCGATTTTCATTTAACATACCAGCTCCAGCTTTCTTGCGTTTCTTATCCGCAGGCACTTCATCAGCTAGATTGACGATATGCTTCATTCGCGTCTGAGACACAGCACTTTTCCTGTCCATTATCTGAGCCCTCCGCTTCTTTCGTTCTTTAATGCGGTTCATCACCTCCTAGTTTATGTATAAACATGTGAGGTGGGGACTGCAGAACAGGGGACGCACTTGATGACTCCGACGCATCTTGAGCGACCAGCTTTGAAAATCCTGTTCACGTTCCTGTTCCTCGCGTCTTTCAAATTCCTCTTTTAATTCTTTCTCCCGCTCTTTCTCTTTCTTCGCCCGCTGACGCGCCTCGTGGGCGGCTTTCATCAATCGTTGCCTCTTTTTCTCCTTTAGTTGTTCTTCGTCTAACTACCACAAGAGTCAGGGTCGGTCCTCTGGGGTTCAAAGGGATCTACTTTATGATCTGGGACGTCCACTAACGGAAACGTGGTTTCAGCCTAACAGGTTTGGGAATCAGAGACATAATTGCGAGACTAGAGGTCAACGTACATCAATTTCCTCCTCCTGACCTTCCTCTTTACGCTTAGCGCGTTTGATAGAAGTTTGTAACTTCTTAATGATGTCGTCCAGCATCGCATCGGACTCAACTCCTTCCGCCTTGAGCCTGGCCTGGAAACAAATGGGTGGGGATATGCAGTAAACCAACAAGCCTCTTACCGCATAGTCCGACTTCTTGTCTTTTGATCTTAGCTCCCTGATGGCGAGGAGATTGTCGAGATCTTGCTCTCGCTGGAGCATCTACCAGAAGTTAAGTATTCAAACACAGTTCGCAAGTGACTCTGAATGAGTCAGGTACAAACTTTTTCGCTTCGAACCTTAGCAGCCTGTTCCTGCAACCGGCGGCCGGCCTCTCTGCGTCGTTCAGCTATACGAGCAAGCTCTTCCTCCGTTTTTTCTTCGCCCTGTACTTCGAAATCGTGGCTCAGAACTAGATGAACGGAATGACGATAATATATACCGTGATCGTGAATGGAAACTGGACAATGATGTTTGCAGCCGAAAGCGATGATGGCACTTTGAGCTGTCTGATGGTGTCCACGTAGTTTGAAGAAACCAAGAAAAAATTATGAAGCATCCACTAACACGCTCAGTGTGAATAACACTGAATCCTTCGAACAAATGTGCTTACAGTTGCATGCTGAGGTGTGATCTTAGTGGGGAACCCTGAATATTTGAGGTTAAGAAGCTTTAGAAGATACTCTGAGGCTTGAGAACCACCCCAAGGTAGTCTATGAGGTAACATGGAGCACACGTGCGTCGTAAGAGATTACTAAGACCGCCTACCGTTTGGCCTGATTAAAAACACCCCTCCCATTCAAGAAGGGAATGACCGAAGTGGATGAAGTGTTGAACGAAATTACAAGGCCTTCTTGTGGAGCGGATGGTTCAGGGCAGTTATAAGCGTGCGAAAGCAAGGCGTCAACGGCGTATACTACTCTCGGAACAGAATAGCATTCGAACAAGAGTTCGGACATCACTAAGAGGGGAAGCTTGTGTGAAGCGTCGCCACGCATATGGAGCAATGAACTGACAGCGGCGATTGGCGAGAGGAGTGCAGAATCTCTCCGACATTATTACCGGATGACTGACAGAATCATCATCCAGCCCAAGTTTCAAAAAAGCATAGTCAAGACATCCTTCCTTGAAAGAACCATAGGTGTGAGGGTAAGAGCCTTGTCTATGACTGTACAACACAATCTTCACCAGAGCTTCGGCATTCAAAAGCACTTCTGCTTCCCACGGAGACTTGGCAGCCCCGCGTGATGGACCATCGACCTCCGCAGCAGCGCCAAAAAGCCCAAGCATCTTGCCGCTTCTTCTGTCTTTATATTTCGAAAACATATTGGGATTGGAGAATGGGGCCCCGGATGTTGCGAAGCCATATCTCAGGTCGGTTGAGCCTCCAGAACACACGGACCTTGAGCATGATAAAACCCATAACGCCAAGCCTCCACTCACCGTTGTCGATCACGATGGGGGTTTTTGCGGCGAAGTGCGTATTTCTGTAGTCCGTTTCAAAGGAGTCCAATGACAGCAAGGACTGGCTTGGGAGGTAGTGCACGGACATAAATGATTGGGCAAGCTATCGCGGGGCTGCAAGCGCCCTGATCGCGGTGTGACGTTACGCGAACATGTCACGACATGTGACTTACCTTCATACATTCAACCTCCCGACTCCGAAACCCGTTGCAACACGTTCAGCCTCTCTTACTTGAATCTTACAGCACTTCTTTCCTTCCTTTGGACGAATATACCTTTTTTTTGCTGTCTAATTTACATTCATGGCCGCCGCATCCGTCGGCTCCCTCTCTACATCGCTTTCTGCCTCCGTCACACGAATCTTGTCTTTGACCGGATTCTCCCCAGAGCTCAAGACTAAGGACATCCAGAACGCATTTTACGAGTGGGAAAGCCAGGCAGGCGGATTTAAAATCAAATGGGTGGATGATACCAGTCTTCTTCTCGTCTTTGCTGATGCTGGTGTTGGTGTGTCAACTCTGATGATATCCACGGAAGCCTGCTAAGACAACTGCCACAGCCAAACGAGCATACTTGCAATCCCTCCTTAATCCTCCTCCTACTCTAAGTTCTTCAACTTCACCCGATAGTCTCCGAGTCAGACCCTATGATGGACCCGATGCTCAGGTAATGCTCAGGTTTATTTTCTTATTCAACAACGCTGAAATTCCATTCGACTTCAGGCTGTAATCTACACCGTAAACAATCGTCGCAACAATAACACCCGCGGATCGGTCTCTGCCCCTGCAAACAGCCACTCTCGGAGCATAAGCGTCAGTGGTGCTGGGAAATCTGGTGGATGGAAATCGAACAATGGCGCAGGCCTCGCTGGATCAATGCACGCGCCTGGCGCGAGTGGCAGCGGAAACTCTTCCCCCACCTTGCCGAACCTCGCTACTCAACCGACTCTCAACTCACTCATCAGTTCATCGCTCAATATGGGATCATCTGATTCCATTGGGATCAGTGTTTCCCTGGAGAACGGCACCATAGCTTCACAGGGCCACGACTCTGCACCGCCACGTTTTGGAGATCCTGCACGTCGTATGGTGGGCGCTGCGTTAGGTGTTAGGCATCCCGGAATTGCGCCTAAGGGAACTCCTGAGAGGCGTGGCAATGGTATCAATAGTGGCGATATCAGGTCGTTGGGCAATGCGATGGGAGGTTTGGTCATTGCTGAATGAAGGTGGAGTTGTGGTCATGGACTGTGTCTATTTTTCGATTCTCTTTTCTTCGCCGTTATCCTTCATGATAAAGCATACTTTTTTAGCCTTTCAATCCATGTTTTGGCCATGCTATGGAAAACAATTAATACTGACCAATACAATTGATGTTGTCTATTCAATTTGGATGAGGCCTCGTGACGCCCCGTCGCCCGTGTTACATACGAACGCCACCTTGAGCCTAGGATGCTCGGTGCTCTGCTAATAGCTTACGTGTTGGGCGGTTTCACTCTGGTACCCCTCGTTCTCCTCGGGTTTTTGGCTATCATTGTGTACGCGTCTCCACCTGCGGATGATGCTGGCCCAACAAAGCCTCGCGGAGCGAAACTCGAAGATTCCAATGGTCCCGAGCCTTCTGGATCATCTCAGGGGGAAGATGAGAAGGCGTTCCTGCAGGTGCCATCTCGTCCACTTCAGGGTGGCTCACGGCCCGGCGGACTTTTGAGGAGACACCGGCCGAGGGGTCATACGTCAACCAAATGGTCCGCTCGTTCCTTGACGCACGTTCCAAGGACCCGAAACGCACCCGTCCCAAAGATCTTTACTATGCCGTTCTCAAAGGGACTGTTCTATTCTTATATGAGGATGATCTCATGTCGGATTGTTGGGCTGCCATCGAGCTATCGAGCTATGAAGTCACCATTCACCCCCCTGGAGGGCTTGATGGTGAGCTTTTTGCCAGGAGGAATGCAATAATGCTGCGAGTCAAGCCGCAAGATGCAGATGCTCATCCTACGTTCATCCCAACCCTAACCAAAGAGACGACTATCGACGAACTGTCCGTGGCTCCAACACCCGAGGAGGCAGAAACGGGAAACGGAGAATCTAAAAAAGCTCCAGCGCACCCCAGCATGGACAACGACATCACCATCAACGGTACCGCCACGCATCAGATGCTATTTGACGAGTCCAGACCTTGGTTCCTTTTCGTAAAGTCAAATACGCAAATGGAGGATTGGTACCTTGCACTTGTTCAGCGATCAGTCCATCCCTCTGCAACTTCCATCTTCGAGCCACTTACGGATGTGTACAACATGTCGGACATGGACACCCTCGTTTTAACTCTAGACAGTCAGCCAGATCCGATACCCATGCGTTGGCTGAACGCACTTCTGGGGCGCATGTTCTTCAGCGTGTACAAGACGGAGGCAGTCGAACAGTATATTATTGGCCGCCTGAAGCGAAAGCTTTCCAAGGTCAAATGGCCAAACTTTCTCTCGGACATCAAGGTCAGGGAAGTGAACGTTGGAACGACTGCACCTACTTTCAGCAAACCTATGCTGAAGCAACTCACAAAAGAAGGGGATGCTAGTGTTGAGATGGGTCTTCATTACAAGGGGGAGGTGCGAATCACTGTCGAGGCCACAGCAACAATCAATCTTGGGGCTCGATTCAAACCATATACCGTCAAGCTGGTATTGGCCGTAGTGTTAAAAGGGCTACAGGGAAATCTTCTCGTAAAGATTAAGAGCCCTCCTTCCAACCGCCTTTGGTACGCATTCACGACCATGCCCAAGTTAGAAGTTGAGGTTGAGCCTGTGGTCTCCGATCGACAAATTAAATGGAGTATGATTCTGAAACCTATCGAGTCGATGTTGAAGGACGTTGTACGTAAACACCATCACTGTTCATTCAGCACATCCATTCACCCCTACCGCGTGTAGATCACGGAATCCATTGTCCTCCCTAACATGGACGACATCCCTTTCTTCAACACCCAGCCATATCAGATACGAGGAGGCATCTTCGCAGACGCAGCCCGCAAACCCTTATCAGATGCCACTCGTAAACCCTTGTCACAGGTCGATCCATCGAAGCAACAGGCAATATCACCGGAGCCTGGTTTGAAACGTTCAAAATCCTCGGATCACCTTCCCCAATTGTCTGAGAGTGCATCGCAGAACATCCCCACTGATGCGGCTGGTCGCTCAGAACCAACAGTATCACTTCCTGCTATTGCTCTACATGAACCTACCAAGGTTCCCTCTGAACCTCCTACTCCGCCCAAACGGAATACATGGTTCGGTTATGTCAACCCGTCCCAAAAGTCCCTCAACAAGGAGGATGAGTCGGTCAATGCCGCCCTCATTCTGGAGGCGCAAAACGAGCCTGAAGTTGAACCCAGGGGGCGCGCTCAACGGCAAAGCATCACATCTACGCGCGCCCCATCTACATCACCATCACCTTCGCCGTCATTTCCGCCCAGTCACTCTCCTCTTGTGGAGGAATCCCCCATCATTCCTCCCGGGCAGCCGAATGAAGGCACTTTAACTACTCAATTACCTGGTACCCAGTCCCCTATGCCACCTGTATCACCCTCTGGTTCTCAAACGCTCCCCAAGCTCCGTTCTCCTTCGTTTCCCCACCAAGCAACTCGATCGGCTGACTTCGCCCCCAGCCGTTTCTTCTCGCGACCCCAAAATGATGAGGCAAGAACCGTGACCTCCTCGAAAGCCAGCACTTTGTTGACTCAGTGGAAGGCGAAGGCGACGGACAAGGAGGCGCTCAGTGCAACGGCTCGAGAGACCATAAAGAAATGGGGTTGGGGAAAGAAGAATGACACAATAGCTGGAGGAGCGTCGTCGAAGAAGAAAGAAGATAAACTAGTTGGTTCGCCACCAAAACAAACATTCGAGGAAATACGAGCTCAGGTTGAAGAACGCAGACAGGCAGAGCGACGGCGTGTCGAGGCCACTGCGCCGGGTGTTGGTGCCCCAACTCACCAGCCTGATCTCCCCACTGGTTCAGAAGGCGCTCAGACTTCCATAGTGATTGATGGTGGGTCTAGCCGTGGCGAGGCTACCTCCGCTCCTACCGAATTTTTGCTAGAGCGGAGAAGCTCGAATGCTAGTTCCTTCACAGGCGGGGTTTTTTCTAGTGGTGCAAACCCGAATGTCCCTGTTTTGAATGGGAATGCTAGAACAGGCTCATCACCTGGCCAATTCATTTCCCCTTCCCAGCCTAAAATCACCACCAAAGTAGCCACTCCCAACTCGTCCCCTCATCTTACACCTGTAGACTTACACTCATCGCGACCAAAACCAATCCCCTTGCACTCTGCACAGCCTAGTTCGGCGCCTAAGATGTCAATACCTGGCATTCATGCCTCACACCGTGGAGAAGTCCAGGCACTCGGATCTACTCCGGCGATGTCATCGGATTCTACATCGGCGTCGTCATCAACGTCCACGCTCCCACAAAAATTGCAGTCGATACAGAACATGTATAAGATGTTCGGCAACAGGAATAGCAAATCTACTGCTAATGATAGCGTACCTAATTGTGGCGATGGTCCAACAACCACTACAGGCTTAGGCCCGGGATTAGCTCTTGGACCCGGAGGCGCGACGCATATGGAGCCGAAGGAGTTCCTACCTGGGTCAAGTTTGACGGAGCCCGCCAAACAAGGTACTGAGGACTTAGCTTCCCAAATTCCTGATGCACCGGTTGGCACGCAATCTATCAAACCCACAATTGCAGATGGGATTATCATAGGATCTTCGCACCCTGTCACAATTAACCGCGGAAGTCCCTTGGACAAGAATGACATCCGGAGAGATCCTGTAGCTGACATTCCATCCGGGGACAGTCCTCCGCTTCCTCCACGGCCTCAATCTCAATCCGTTTTGTCTGCAACTCCAGCATCAAGTGAAGTTCGGCTTTGCACTCAGTCTCCATCCAAATCCTTCCATGAACCGCCATCTCAAACTGAACTTTCTTGCTCGCCAGCCGATGATCAGGATACCCTCGGGGTTCCACAGGATAACGAACTATACACTGAGGTATCGTGGAAAGCCTCGAGCGCAGACGACATAGCGGGCTCGGTACTCGCACAGGAGACAGAGGCGGGTTTGCCTGGAAATGGTAGCGCTAATCAACGGACTGAACTAAAACCAAATCCTGGTTCCGTCGAAGGTGCCGTTGCATTCGGTCGCAGCAACGCTCACCCCCCGGAAGTACGGCGTGAAACGTTGTGGGTTCCCCCTCCATACGACTCATAGGATTAGATGCCTGCTGTTGAAATTGATCTAGAGCTGTTCCTTTCCATTCTTTCCATTGGCACTCTTTCCCTATCGATTGATATATACTCTGTCCATTTTGTTGAACTCCCCTCCTCGGCGCACAAAAGAACGTAGCTTTGTTCATTCATTCTTCCGCCCGCTTACACTTGTATCGCTCTTTCGCTGTCTCGATATCTCGGACCACAGTTCCTTTGTCACGCATTTCACATCTCATCAAGTCTCCCACTTGTATCTCGGTACATGCCAGTATTATTACACGCGCACGCATTTGGTTGATTATTCATGTACAGCGCCGGAGGCGCTTTTTCTGTGATTTTAGCAGGGACCTTACAACATTGATTTGATATTTTTGAAACTCCGACTGACAGTAACATTTATGTAACATTGCATAAACAAGGCGGATAAGTATTGGACCCAAAGGAATAACGCGATTTTTACAAACTCTCCAATCCTTCCGCCTTGGCAGGCCTCCACGACCTTAAGATGTTATGGAATAACTACTTATTGACCCGCAAGCACGAGTGGCTAAGTACTTTGCTTAGATAACAGGTAGGTTGGCTGATGGGAGGATGAAGAGGAAGGATATTGGGTGGGTCAGAGGGTTACACGAATTACGAAGTGGGCTGTGGCGGAGCAGAAGGGGGAGAACCGAATGTGAAGTTCTGGAAGGGAACGTTCAGCCAGATGGTGTCCATGCTTAGATCCCTGGCTGGATCAGAGGGGAGGGGTCCACCAAGTCATCACATTCAGAACCGCCTACCATGACCACACGCTCGACTGGTCGTACTTACTGTGACTATCAACTTCGAGGTCTAACTTGGGGCGACATTTGGCGGCGTCATTGACATATAGCGATGATACCCTCGCGCGGGCCAGGACCTCAAGGGACGTAACAAAAAGAATAATTAAATCCTGCATCCGGAGCAAATAACTAATGGGTGGAATTGGTTATGCATGACTTCTTGATTGTAAGTGGGGCATGAGACTCGCCTGTGGAAGGCAGCAAGTTGGACCTCAGACATGGCGGCTGCAGCGAGGAGCTTGGCCACAATATCGATTTCTTCGTCTTACTTCTTTCCCAGTGGTACTTTGAGTTTGATGAAGAGCTAGTGGTTGTTGTCACCGGAATGTGTCAGACGTGCCTATGGGAGAGATGGTGAATGTAACTGGAAGGTGAGTTAGCTCAAACATACATCATTCTGCTCTGTACATGCCATCCGCACTCCTCGACGTCACGAAGCGCGTCATTTTGGATGCGCCCTCTCCCTCCAATGCTACCATAGAGATTTCCACAAACACGACCGTAATGCATGGAATAAGATGCGCACCCCGCATGACCGCAGCGTGTGCATTTGTCTCGATGTGCGAACCTCACGACCCCCCACAATAGTAAATAAGCAATCTACTGCCTGTTTCAGCTACCAATTGAATTTTAATGAATCTGATGTCAGCGACATGTCATCATGACCGCCGCTGACCACCGACTTGCAGGTGGCGTCAACTACATCCCCGAACGCCAAGAGGCAACCCAAGGAGGGCGCGGGCGCCCTACATGCGCGTCGGCTGTCCCCGTGGGGATTGGGGTCGTGAGTGGCATCAAGGTTGCAGCATCACAGCATGTTATTCACATTGTCATTAGATATCGTGCTCTCAGCTCACACACTGTGTTTACAAGTATTTCAGGTGTGTGACACAAAAGAACAAAGCGCTACAAACTGAAGCAATAAAACAACAAAGCAAATCACAAAAGGGAACAATTACATGAAACCTCAGCTTTGTCTCCAATGGTGGCAACATATGGTTGACTGGCCAACCATCGGCACAAAGGGCATCGGAATGTTCAACATGTACCAGTTTGTAAAGTGTTCACTGGCACCGTGTCCACCTCACCCCCCGACGGTTGATATCTAGCCACGTGGTAAGAAATTGGCGTCCACAGTTCCAAACCTCAGACAGTTCTCATTTGACGGATTTTGAAGAGGGGACATATTTGCATTCCCCTCATCGACACCAATGCGAGGCCGGGAGCAGGGGCATCTCTTCTGGAGTGCTGCGCACGAGCCCTGAGTCTGGGAGCGCTTCAAACCGTCAGAGATGACGATGACGACAATATGTATTCTCTTACGCACGGGAAGGGGATGTCAATTTTGAAGGCAGCAGCAGCATTTTGAGTGCTGCGCGTCCGCGTTGCTGATATCAATACTCTGTTTTTCCAAGTCAGTCAACGGAACGGAATAATGTTATCGCAAGGAAGGCAAGGTAAGTTCAATGGATCTAGTCATGGTAATTTAGGGGGCAAACTAAATGCATATGATAGGATAGCTGCGCCGAGATGCATTGAGTTGCACATGAGATAGCAGATGGAATACTGTCCTCGTCCAAGCAATACCACCTGCGTTCTTCGACTGACGGAGCAGTTTGGCCAGGTCCGAGGGGGCCCGAAGGGCTTCGTCTGCCTGCAAGCGAGCTTGCGAGGTCTGGAGGTCGGTCCGAGAAACATCACTCAGGTACTTTTCACTTCAGGACTTCAGCGCCGCATTCCACTCACCTCGTTGTCCAAATTCAACTCCAACGCTTTTACCCTGCATGTTGCTAATCACCGAAATGGAACTGACTGAAAGCTGCATAGTTTTAGTTTTTCGGTTCAGGGTCAAATAGATACAGAAGGTGGCCTATTGGATTAGTTATCCCAGATGGGGCAAGAATCGTGCACCTGTCAAATTTGGTCAATGCCAGTACAAAACATGCTGATCTGCGTAGCGGTATGCATGAGAAATGGCAGGGAGTATGATGGGACTGCCAGTCATCCTGAAGGCACGTAGGTGACCAAGTTGGAGAGCTGCCAGCTGTGACGAGAACAGCAAAGTGAGCAACTTAACACAACGAGCAATCTGTTTTGAGCACTAAACGCTGATCATGTCTTTTTGGAAAGTTAGCTGGGGCAGCGGCATTCATATATCGCACGGACTTAATGATCCTCTGAATCTGGTACAAGCCCAATTCATAAGGTGGATTCTTACCAGGAGTTGCATGTTGAACGGGATTCCTCATTCCCTTCAAAGAGACTAGTCTCTTAATGAATGGAAGTGTTTCATTGAAATTTATGACCGCTTTACAAGATTCCGCTCCCGAAGGAACACCACCCCGCTCCTGAAAACCGCATGAGCGCTCTCTCCATAAAAATGCTGCAAAGCATTCTTTGATGCGCGCGCCGATGCTTAAGGTAGATCAGCCCATTCACTAGCTGATAGGCACTGCCGGCATCTGAGACATGGGGAAAACTGGTGAAGCTGTGCACTAACCTGCCATGGTGGATCATTTTTTTCGTTATGACGTGAGTCGTACCCCATCCTTCCTCCATTCTGAGTGGACTTCTTACTCTATGTCAAGCTGAGAACGGAGTCTGGTTCCCTCCGCCATGAGGACGGAGAATCCTAACTCAGATCCTTTGGGAGGTGGGCTGAATCAGGATCTGGGCGCCCCGAATGGCTAACTCGCGACGCGTTATGATACGAATAACGTTAGCAGCGTGCCATCTTTTCCTTCATCTGGGCTCTCTTTGTCCCACCTTGACACGAGGCAACTCCAAGGTGTTCGGTCAACCCGTGATGGGGTCTGGTCAGCATACCGCTTACATGATGCGAATCGTACATCGGATCCTTTCTTTTTGGGCCATAGTTTCCTTATATCTTTTCGAAAGCTTTTCAGAGTTCCACAGGATGGTTTTTTTTTTTGAATTTCATTCTTACCCGTTTCGAATGGATAACTCGATCTAGGATAGCTGTGCTTTGGTCAGGAATGACCTCGTCGGATCTTTAGGCTTTGTGAAACGTGTTCAAGTCATGCATCCGCTGTACCACTGTACTACTGTACCTAATGCAGAAGATTGAGGAGGTTCCGAAAGCCGACCATTCAGCCACGAGAAGTCATCGAAGGGCCCGGTGTCGCTACCCTATTAATTTCTATCCGTCACTTCACTTTTCATAGTTCTGGGCTCTCCGTTTTGATCCGTTCTCGGCAGTTTGGCCAATTGTTTTCAGCAACGAATTGAGCATGGCGAGTCTTGCGGCTAAATATTTTGGCAGGAATTCGCCCTGACTTCATTATAATGGTAAGTAGTGTGTGACGGACCTCGCGGTGCTGATCATATTAGGCGCGCACATCAGTCCGAATGTTCGGTATTCTCGACCGCACGCGTCCCCCACGCCCCTAGTTGTAGCTTTTCTGCTCTCCTCCTGGAGGGGCGGTACGGACTGGGAGGTGGTCTAGTCTTAATTGTCCAACAGCCCAGGATTTGGGACCCTTATACTATGGACCACCACATACTCGGTCACACAGCCTCCTGTTTGAGACCCCAGTTGTGGTTAGTACCGCATGATATGGCAACTCTAACGGATCTGGGCTAATCAGCGGACTTTCCGCGTTATTCGTGATAGGGACTCAGCTGACTAAACTTCAAGTGTTCAAGGTGGCGGGGCTGGCGGAGGCTGAAATATCCGCTTCCACTGATCGATATCGATAATAGTTTTAAAGAGCAATTATCATAAATGGGAACGGTGCATTCCTTCCGTTGTTCTAGCACTGCTAACACAATCAGAACCGACGTGTGCCTTGATAATTTGTGGTAGAGACATGATGATGCCATGGGCGACCCATGATCAAACCGGCCTGCGGTGGGCTGTAAACCCTCTATTCCCCAAGTCGCCGACCCCCAATCGGCGACCAGCTTATTAGGGAGTTGAAGAACACGGACTCAGGACAGGGGGCGGTGACCGCCATTTTACTCAAATTGGGTGTTGGCATTTGTTATGAAATATTTACGGTGTCAATAGTTGTCCACAGTCAATTACCTAAATCGGAAGCTGCGTCACTAAGGACGGCTAAACTGGTTGCTACTCCGCCCTTTGTCCGCGACCACCTTGACCTAGGTTACAGAACGGTGCAACACGCCAAACCAAGTCGATAGTATATATACATCTGTTCTTTGTGTCCTGGAGGCACCTCCGTTGTTCGCAGATTGCATCTACATCAAGTGAGAGCTCTAACCCCTAGCTGTGGTAATTCGCAAATATCTGCGGCGACCTTATCAGATCGGATCTCTGACCAGTGTCGGTGCTTCCCAGTTGTTATCCTGGTCACTAGATCTTCGTGAGTCATGGATAATCATCTCCAGACGCAGAGCTCTCATAACGGTGCATACTCTCATGTTTCACGGTCGCGATCATTATCAAGTCGAGGGCAACATCCATTTTCCTCGAATCAATTTTTGCGCCCACAACTGACCACTCCGAACAATTTTCCCACTTCCCCTTCGTCGCGCACACGAGTGTTTTCGCTCATCAGGAATATTCTTAATATTCTTTTTTTTTTCTTCTTAGCAAAACCGGGCTCATCTCCGCGCGGTGTCGGCATGTCTACCATCTCCGAGCCGGAACCAAGGCCGAGTCTCGCAACTTTCCAACAGAGGGATGATACCCCTCGACATTCCACTGCCACAACCTCCTGTTCAAACGCGACGCACGAGGGGCATCTGATGATGGGTTCCCAAAGCGAACCACCTTTCCTTACGAGCTCCAGAAAGGGTCGTCGGTTTTTTGACAGGATGCTCGGTCGCGGCGCAGCAGCGAATGATGGCCCATCATCGCTGGTGTCACGTCCTACACCACACCAAAGGACAAAATCACTTAACCCGAATGCATTTCTGACAAAACTTCTTATTTCTTCTCCATCCCCCTCCACTGTCCCTGGCCGTCGAAGTATGGACTCACGAACACCGACGCTACTTCGAAAGACGCATCCCAACTCGCACAATGCTCATCCTTCAATTCAAATCTCACCCAACCAAGAAGTCCAACCCGCTCCCAATCTCAACACCCTGACAAAATCTGAACGTGCGGAAAAGATCAGAAGGAACCGAAAGGTCCTCCAAATCTTCGGTGATGGGTTGTTGAAGCGTGGCGCGGGTCCAACTGGTGATATCGCGTTCGACCAAGCTCTTAGCCATCCCTCCTCCCCTTGTTCCCCAGAAGGCTTTGATGGGCAATTTGCCCTTCACAAGAGACCCTCTCAGTTGTTGCTCGAGAATCGTCGTCATTCATCCCCCATCAGTCCCAGCTTCTTCCTTGAGACCCCAATCGATCCTCGCGCTCTCCGCCGTCCACGCTCTGATCCGAGGAAGTATGGCGAATCCGTTGTTTCACTTTCATCCGATTCTACGGAAACTGAAGTAGCAACCCGCCAACTCCAGGATCAATCTTCCAAGAGCGAAACACTAATGGGAGATCAACAACAACAGCAACAACCCACTCCTGCGACATCTGGAACACCTGCCCTTGTGGGATCGGATCTTTCTTTCCACTCCTCGGATTCAATGAATGGAACGGCCACGAACGGTAGTATTCTAGAGTATTCCCTGCCCATTTCCTCGGATAGGGCACCCGAAGATGAAGAACGTGCTAAGAAGCGCGCCACTCTTGCTAAGCTTCACCGATTTTTGGGGTCGAGAGTCCCTGTGGATCTTGTCCTCGGTTTGACACCGTCGGATGTAGAAGCTTCTTTGCCACCAAAGAGTGCATCCCCTATTGTGACGGAAAGCGGTCCTTCCGCCCTTTCCCGAGCGAAGTCATGGAAGAATTTCAAGTCGCACCGTTCTGCGAAGAGGTCTAACTCTGGTGAAGCCAATGGTGAACGGCCGGGCGTGAAGGGGGAGGACTCGGAGGACAAGTATCCGGTCGTGTTTCTATCTGATGGAGAGTTGGATGCCAGAGTTGGGCGGCTCACACACGCTCAACGGAATGATATAGTACGGAAGAAGAAAAAAATTACGAAGGTTAGCCTCAGGACATCCTTTTTGAGTTTTTTGAGTACTTACAGGTTTAATTCGCTCAGATGATGGGCGATTGTCCACCCGATATCCTCAATCGGCAGTCTTCTTCCATCCTTGAGGGGAAGGATCTTCTTCACTTCTCCAAGGAAACTGGGAAGAGCTTGCAATACGTGCACTATCGGTATTCCATCGACTCGTTAACTTACCTTATGCAAAATGTACGTCCGCGAACCGCATATTCATCCTGCTCGTAGCACTGGCTGACCTTGAGGGGCCGTAAATTCCAGGAAAACCAAGATCAGCTCCAAGATTTTGTTACTTACATGAGAACTGATGGAGAATCTGTCAAAGGCGACGAAGCAAATGGGATTTCGCGACCACGTGCCCTCACCACCGACTCGATCGTGCCGCCTTCACCAACGGAATCGTGGACATCCGACAGTACGAATCAACAGGGCATAACAATGGAGGAAAGAGAGAAAGCCAAAGCCTTCCAGCAACGACGCAGGCGAGCCGCGAAATTGTCTTCGTTCTTTGGTGTGGAGTATCGTGAGCTCTTCACGGAAGTTTTGGACACGATTGAAGATGAGGTCAAGAGCGATGCCAAAAGGGGCAGCTTGACGACCGAAGAAGTCCGAGTAAGTCTTCTCCTTTTGTCCATATACTCAAATAACGGCAACTCATTATCTATTACCGCCTGAAGGAATTACTTGTAAAATTGCGCGAGCTTAAAACCCGCTGATTGTCTATGTGTCTGTACTGTATTTTGTTGGGTTGTCATTTATATTCGATTAATAACGAGCTGAGTCTCATCTATCCTGAAAAAGTGGTGTCATGATCTGAGACCCAAGCGCGGGTATATGAATCTGAAATGGGGATTATAAAACGACCAAATCTCCCGAGCATGCATGGCACCAGAAAATGTGAGATTCGTCTCTGAAGTGTTGTGAACGAGAAAGGGAACGGGGATGTGTTGGATCAGAATCGGGTAGATTAAAGGGTGCTCGAGGTGATTGTGTGGAGGGCGAACTTAATTCTTCCTCCTTCATCGCGGTAAGGGGTGGTAGAGCCTGAGTGACCGGACGTGCGGCATGAGCCTCGCGCTCCGAGTCAATACGCGCTTTTAGCATGCTTAGGCTGATTTTACGTTTATGTCGCGCTTCAGGAGTAAGCGCGGAGTCCAGTCCCTTGAGTGGTCTGGGAATCGTAGGTCGCATGAATGCATTAGACGACGAGGCCGACGCAGCAGATAATGGGCGGGGTGGGATTTGGGGTGTGGAGGTCAGACGAGCAGTCATAGCATTCAGTTCGTCGCCGAGAACTCCCAGCTGGCGTTGAAGTTGATGAGTCTTTGTTTGTTCAAGGTAGAGGGCATTTTCCAGTGATCGTATCTGTGACCGTGCGGTGGAGAGTTCTAATGCGTGTTGCTGTCGCTGAATGTCCAATAACTCGTTCTCTATTGAAGAGGTTGGAGGAAGAGATGGTGATGGTTGGGCATTCTGTATGGAAATTTGATCCTTGAGTCGAAGAATCTCCTCATCTTTCTGAAGCCCTTCGGTTCGTAACAACTCGATTTCCGATCGATTCCGGGAGAGTATATCTTGGAGCTCCTCGGAGGCGCGATTTGATTCGTTCAGGGATTGCTCAACGGTGGCCACATCGTTTTGATATCTCCCAACTTCTTCCGTGAGTCGCACAATGGTGTCCTCGTACTGCGTAACAGCTTTATGATGGACGGTTCGACCAGCGGCAAACTCTTGAATACTTTGTCGTGCATTGTGAAGCTCCTCTTCCATTTCCACAAGCGCCTTTTCCAAACCGCCTATATTGGCCTCCAACACCTGCTTCTCGGATAACCAGCGCTTCTCAGATGACTGAGAAACGGTTCTAAATTCATCCAAACTGGAACGCAGTTCCCCAACGGTGGCTTCCAGCTGCGCAATTGTGGCGTCTCTAGTGCTGATGGTGCGTTGCATTCGCCCTTTCTCCTCGCTAAGAGTAACTTTATCTTGAGTGAGATCAACGACTTTGGGTCGTATCTCGTTCAATGACGCCATAAGTTGAACGTTCTCATTCTGAAGCTCCTGATGTGCTTGCTCAGCACCCTGGGCTCGTCTCTCGGCGGCCGCAACGCCCGCCTGCGCGACCTGTAGTTGCTGCTGGATCGTAACAAGCTTGGCAGAAGCTGCACTCTGAAGAGTACTGGCTTCCACATATTCTTTACGCGCCACCTCCACATCGGCGAGAGCCCGTTCAAGATCCGTTCTGAGCGCATTGTTTTCTTCGGTCATTGATGATAATGAAGCCCGCGCCGTAATAAGTTCCTCAGAGAGAGACGCATGTTTCGACTGCGACTCAGATGCCGATTTTGCTGTTATTCCGAGTCGTGACTCCAAGTCTAAGAGTTCTCCCTTCAGTTTAACGTGTGCCTGAAGGTAAAAGCTTGGTTAGAATCCCGGAAGCCGCCAGCATAATTAAATCACCTGTTTGGATTTCGATAATTGGAATTCAAGAGACTCAGCCCGCTCTTGACTTGCACGGAGGCTCTTCTCCAAAGCCTCGACCTGGCCATTTGCTTTAACTTCTTCTTGCAGTTCCTTCACCCGAGATTCGAGGTCTTTGGCGAACTGAGTGTTCTGACTCAGGGATGTACGGAGTAATGAAATTTCACGTTCCTGTGGGGGCACGATGATTGCTGAAACGGACAATCCCCAGCGCATAAGCGACACCTACCGCTTCAAGGTTCTTGGCCACGTATTCGTCCTCTCGCGCAGACGCAAGAGACTTTGCCTCCTGTACGTCTCTCAACTTGGCATTCAATGATGCAATATCCTCCCTCAGCTTCTGGGAGTCGGTCTCTGTAGCCTCGAGTTGTGAATAATGATCTTTCAGCACTTGGGGTGTATAAATTTCCAACGAGCATCTACGAATGAGGTCCATATACATACCACGCTCCCTATCATCCTCAAGTCTCTGGAGGGATGCGGCAAGTGAAGTCTTCTCAGCCACCAGAAGAGAGATTGTTTGCTGATGGTTCTCTAACTGAGCGTGGGGTTGCCCATTTGAAAGCGGTGGTGGGGAAATCTGCGCGGTAGGAGTCGTCGCCTGGGCAGGCCTTGGTAATTCGGACGAGGATTGGGGTATATGTTGAGCAGGTGATTGCTTGCTGTAGGGATATCATGTCAACTACACTGGGCTTGAACCGGTGGGAGTGGAACTGACAGCTCTCCAAATTCTGAAAGATCTCCAGCTTCGGAAGGGGCCGGGGAAAACGGGGTGTCTGGAGGACTCTGGAAAACGACGCTAGACAGTGGCGTTGGCGCCCTTCCTGGGGCTGCTTTCTTCCTCTGATGCTTCTTCAACTATTCGAAATTGAGTAGACGCAGCGAGTATGTGGCATACTTGGCCGCACCAAGGCTTTAGCTCTAGCAGCCTTTTCCAAACGATCAGCCTCTTCAGGCGTCGACATGTTTGCGATTTCCCAGATTTTCTAGCGCCTAAAGTCTTGATAGGCAATTTAGTCCGCTCCAATTGCTACTCATAAATTCGCACGTGGCATCCTAAATTTTATTTGCCAGAATTCCGAGCTTGGAACACAAAACAAAATCATCTAGTTTGAGAGTCCCATTGCTTATGAGTATATACTGCGATCAGCTAGGTGGATACCAGGGGAAGATTGGAAGGCTTTTGAGTAAAAAAATAGGAAAAAGGTAGCTGAAAGGTGGAATAAATACAAGTAACAATGAACGACACGGGTATGCTGACATGACCAACGGAAAGTATAGTTGACTTGGAAAGCGGGGCGACAACAGCCATGCGGGTGGGGGTTGACGGTAAGTACAAAGTGAGTCGCACCGAAACAAACGAGAGAATCCTTCAAAGCTTTGTTCACAAAAGGTAATAGAGCGAGAATCTGGACGTTAGGCCCAAATCTAATCCAAATACGAGCCATAAGTCCAGAACCCAAGAGATCGGACCAAAAGGACCTGCCTTGAGTGTACTGTCCCAACTCCCCGTGCAAAGCGCCATGCCGTCCGAGCTGACACCAAGGCAGCTAACGCGGTTTTCATGGCCTGTTAAGACGCCTACGCGCTCGCCCTTCAGCGTGTCCCAAACATTACAGGTCCAATCGTCATATCCCCCGAATAATATACGACCTGAAATGGAGAAAGCGACGGATGTTATGCCACTCAAAACGGTGTCATGAGTGTAAGCGTTTAATTCTCTGTCGGCGCGAATGTCAAACAATCGACAAGAAGCGTCATCAGAGCCAGTAGCAAACGCATCTCCATTAGGGAAAAACCTAGGATAGATGCATTCAGCGTCCGACGGCAAAATTACCTCAGTAAACTGACTGGATTGCATTAATATCAGATTCATGGCCATTGAAGGATTGAACGGCCTTTCCGGTGCGAATGTCCCATAACTTTGCTTGAGCGTCACACGCTCCTGATACGAATGTGTTCTGGTTTGGTGCTAAGGACAAGCTGAAGCACACGGAATTCAGTAAGTCTGCGCATCAGTGACTTGATCTTCAGGCATACCTCATGACGTCTCCAGTGTGTTCATTGAACTCCATAATGCGAACACCAGCCTCGATATCCCATAACATACAGGTCATGTCCCCAGAACTGGTCAATATCTGGTGATCATTGACAAACCGACAACAACTCAAGTAACCGGAATGCGCGCTCAGTTCCTTGGCGCCACGCTCACCGGCGCCCTCCCTTGACCGAAGGTTATAAATGGAGCAGATATTGTCCAGACCGCCGCAAGCAACGAAATTCCCAGAGGGTGAATAAGCGCAAGTCATGACCCAACTAGAGCGTAACGGGATGGCGTGGACTTTATTAGTGGTGTAAGCGTCCCATAGGATGAGTTTCCCGTCTTGAGAAGCAGATACAAGATGTCGTTTGTCCATTGCCCAATGCATGGCATAAATTTTTGCCAGGTGCCCCCTTAAAATTCTTCTTGTTCTCATCGCAATCCGTGGGAGGGGCTCGACCTCACCAGCCATGGCACGAACTGCAGAAGAGAAATATCAGGGATTCAGGGATGACAGTTTCGCCTCGAGCAACAAGGATTGGTGCATACGACTGGTGTCTTGTGTTGCATCTCGACGAGCGCGTATCTTCTCCTTCAGAACCTCAGCCTCGCGGCGTGCGGCAGCAATTCTTTCTTGAAGATCACCGTTAGCCGTTCCGGACATGGGTCGGCAAAACGCTTTTTAGGGATACAGAAGGAAATGCTGCAGTTTCAAGTGAACGACTGATGGGTTCTTTTTGGGACAAATGAGTACGCAAGTTGCTGGTTGGGGATGATAATACACACGCGGCGGGCAAGTTTTGAGTTCACGCAGCCCAAGATGCTGAAATCAATGGTGTTGCGATGGATGGTCGACGTTCACTATGTCGGCTGGCTTTAGATCGCTTAAGTCCGGGAACACGTGCATTATCTCTGCTGATTATTTGGGAGTTGCTCTCTCTTCCGCCACTGGCCTGGGTTACTTGTTGTTCCACACTGCAAGTCCTGTCACTATGCGCCCTTTCGTCCTCTCCGAACGGCCCACCTTTCCGGTAGCAGTAGCAACGTAAGTGCCCCGTTTTTGAGAACAACAATGTGGCAGCAAGAAACTATCTGGCTATGAGTTGCCTATCTCATAACCTGCTGTTGTCCTCTCACAACCCATTAATCAGGGAAGTTTTGGTACATCTCGATATTTCCACTAGATGCAGATTGCCGTTAACGATCGAATCGCTCCATTCTTGTCGATGACATGCGTCAGAGCTCCTATTCATCACACGCCGCTTAATGACGCTCTTCCATACTCGGGCTTCGAACAATCAGTTTGGCATCATTTGGTCTTGGGACTGGGATTATCTGCTCTTTCCAATATTGTAACAAATACTAACCTAACCTCACACCTGTGATGTTTTGGCCAAGTTTTCTCGCGGAGAAATGAAAGTGGACCAGTTATTCTGCTGATCAGGGTTTGCTCGCCTCGGATGCATAGTTGCTACAACCTCTATTTGCTGCGCCTCCGCATCGTGGGTGGTGACACGTATTTACATTGACGGGTGTCCCCCTCACATGCCACCATGTCATGGGCTGGACCCTTTGACCGAGGTTCGAGACACAGACTTAGACTTCGGGTCGGCTCCTACACTATCCATTTTGATTCTTCACCGCAACGAGCACACTGTAGTTCTGTGGCGCTGGACGCCATTTTTGGTAGTCGGCTGGACGTAAAGCCTCATGTCCTTGTGTATCTAGGAGGGAAAACTTCCCGTTGTTTTACCATCAGGATGCATAGGTATAAAATCTAGGAGAACTCCTGGGCAGACGTCCATTTTCCATCGTCTTCACCCAAGTCCCAATCGTCCTCGTCTTGAATAATTCCCTTAATGTCGTGTACGTCCGAGCAATCCAACCGTTGTCCCCGCACACATTCATGCATTCGTACAGCATCCTCATCCAGCATCGGTTATTCACGCCAACTACACAATTAGTTTGTCCCTATTCTATTGGTGTCAAGCTCGTCTCACGCATTCGCTGCAGCATAAATTCCAAACGAGGAGCTCACACCATGACCTGGGAGGTTGTTCATTTCTCTGTATGTCCTCATTACCTGCTCATCTTACCACATAGGAGCGTGTCACTGGAGACCATCATAACATGAGATGGACTGTAACATGCAAAAGTATGTTCGTTGCTGTGCCTTTCATAGCACAGAACTCATTTCGGTTGTCATCTTGTCACATCAACAGTCGATGGCAGGGCGCTCGGTACGGCGTCCGGGCCTCGCAAGGGCGCTGCAAAAGAAGAGGCCGCGAGGGTTAGTATTCAACGTTGCTGTTCGCGTTCAATTTCATTGTAACCCACCTTCGCCTCTAGCGTACTCTTCTTGCTTTGGGTGTGGAGCCACGATAGAGATGGCTTTAAGGACCCCTCATTGTCTCCGTTGTTTGATCAGTTGGTTGTCTTTCCCTCATTTTGTGCTATGCGGGCCTCCTTGAATGAATATTATTACCAACACCTCAATGTTGTTACATCTTACACTGAGAAGCGCCCCTACGGAAGAATCATCCCGTGATAAAGCTGGTCTGCAATAGAAACCATCGGATATTTCCCTTGGCTCTGAGGGAAGTGCTGAAAGGGGCGGACACGCAATACGTCCACCAGATTTCATGCTGCCGTCCTCAACACTATTTTGGTATCCGCCTTTGAATTCTCAGACCATGTGTTGTGTCCGCGCACTCGTCAGATATCAATTCGGATCTCATACCAGGTGAATCGTCGAGCGCTTAGACTGACATTGATATAAAATAAAGACGTCCTCACCAAATCCAAAATAGTTTCCTCTGAAATCGAAACTTAAAGATGCCCAGCGTGGACGTTGTCGGTGAGACATGATGTTGGGGTTGAGGCTGGCACGGTGGACAACAGGTAAGATAACACTTTGAGCTCGATTGGTGACGCAGTGCACTCAATGACCAGCAGCATAGAGTTTCAATCACTGGGCGATGACGGCACTGCCCTTTGCGAGACTCCTTGATTTTCTTAAGCGTGAATTCCGCCGTGGACCTTTCGGGCCAATTGGGGTTTAGTGTCCTACTATAGGCCGACATGTCCCCACACATGAAGCTTACGCAGCGGCCCCACCAATTGGATTGCGAGTGAAGGCTGATGAAAAGAGAGCCTAAAAGTGGAAAAGAAAGGGTCGAATACCACCAGCGAAGTCATTCCCCGAAGTTGGAAACAAATAGATTCATCTCGATTTAATGACGGACACAAATAGGTGTTCGCTGCCTCATGTTAAGCTCCGAAAAGGCAGCTCGATGTTGCTCTAGAATCATCGAACCAGATGAACAATATTATCAAATTTGTGAAAAATTTAGGTGCTTCGTTGCAGTTCCACAGTTTAAGTCAGTGTCCGCATGGGAAGTATACGTTTCGCCGCACGACGACGGTCTCATTGAAAGGAACACGTAAAGAGTAGTGTGTTTCAATGAGTTCTCTCGAGACATATGCCTCGTTCTTAGCAGCCCTGTTCAGAGAGGCTCAACCAACTGACCCGAAAACGGTGAGAAGACGCAAGAACTAATCTCCGCCGAGAGGGCTCCGCGAGTCGTGGAGATTTGATCCGCCTTGACTTGCCATGTGTCATGCAAAGATGCGAGATGTGGGGATTTGATTTGTCTGTCGCATGTACAGCAACATAGGTGGCGAGGCTAGCCGGGATTCTCGGGTTGTTCGAGCGGCGGATAACTACACTTCACACCGTGAGGAACGTCGACGTCGCGCCCTCGTTTTCAGGCAGGTCACATTGCCACCTCTCCGCGGATCACGTCTTGATCACTGTTCCAAATTGAGAGCTTCTCACAGCACCCTACGCGAGAAAGATTGTGTTAACTTGCGGGCTCCGTCGGCTAGTGCACATGCGATCATACGAGACGAAAAGCGCGCCGGAAGATGCACGGGGAAATAGACTGGTGGTCCCAAAGCGGATGACAATCACAGACCGCCATTGGAACAGCGGAAAAGTATCGAGACATGATGAGAACGCGAAACTGCCTAAAATTTACTGGCTACAAACAGTAGGGGATCTTTTGGATGGGGCAAAGCGGCTAGCCGAGGCCCCGGACCTTTTCCGCCGCTCTCGAACTGTGGTGAGATAGCAACAGCAGGGTGAGGGGCCCGAGGGTGCTGCGCATAAGTGAGGGAAACCTTGCCGATATCACACGCTCTCACCCCAGGGCCCAGAGAAGTTTCCAAGAACGCCTGTGCTTGAATTCAAGAGATACAAGGCAGTTGGACACAACATTTCAAGATTGCAAATTTCGCATGGAAGCTACTTTGATGGTTGAGCCCCCATGCGCTTTCCCATGACTCGAGATGAGTGCCAACAACGGGGATCCGCTACCCTCCCATGAGCGAAGTTGAAATCCTTCGACTGCGTGGGTCTAGGCCGAGGAGGACAGCAAATGTCTGAGTATCAATGCAGTTCTCGAAACTGGGAAATGATCTGTACACTGTTAGCGCATCAAGGTTCTGACGAATTGAAGGCCTGGGCAAGGTACCGTTGATTTGAATTAGGATAATTCCGACATTTCAGCCCAAACAGCGTTTTCGGATTTCGGTTTCGAACAACTATGCTACTTTTGTATTGGGGGTCCCCAAACTGAATGGCCTGGCTTGCAGCACCGTTGGCGCATGGATAGTCAAATTTATAGGCAAGGAGTGCCGTCAATCAAAGTGCATAATTGTTGGGGACATCCCTTCCAACACCGTCCTGGGGGACTCCTGCAGAGAGCCTTAGGGGGCGCTGCCCCGCTCCGGAGGCACCTGCGGGCCCTTTGGGTGTACCGTGCTGGTGCGTGCGAGTGTATGTCTCCGCTCCCACCGGGTCAAAATACCATACCTAAGGATCATTTCCATTGTCCAAAAGTACAATCAAATTTTGCCTTTGTAGAGTTGCGTGCTATTTGCCCTTCACATGTATTCCTGAAGTTAGGGTTGTTGTTGTACTCTATTTTGTTACCCCGCGGCCGCACTGATACGTGGCAGTGCGATCCCCACACTAAAGTGCATATGAGGGGATCGTCAATACATGGTAAGAGTGATTGGTTGATGTGACAGAGTCCCCTTGCTTGGGGTTGTTGGCTGTACTGGATCCTGAAGTTAGTGTTGGAAATCGGCCTCGAAATGTGTGTTTGTGCCGGCAATTCTGTCTTAGCGCCGGTCAACTCTCATCTGGTCCGACACCAACCCAATACTGGCATAACCCTATTTTCTGATCACTGACTTTGGTTTATCCCATATCTTCTTATTGTCGTCTCCCAATACTCCGGTGTTGTGCATTTCTCGCGGGGGCGCCGGTTCTGGCTTTTGAATCCGGTGTCCCATGAGATCATGTTGATAGCTAACCTAAATGCCCCACCCAGCGCGTTCCACAAAGAGCACGTGAATGGCCACGTGCTTCTTTTTTTTCGGAGAAGAAATTGTTTATTTTCTGTATGTAACTGATTCCGGTTTCTCACAATTTTGTATTGTCTGTGATAATACATATTTATAATTTCAACGGCAGCCAACATCGGTGGTTCTTTACCCTAATGGTTAAGACCGGACCTTGATCGGTCCATCTTGCTTTAGGGATTCCTGTTCGATTCAGAGTTGTTGTTTCTTTTTTGTCGTCGTCGTCGTTTTTTTTTTTCTTTGGCATCCAGAGTATTTGGGTTGGGGGTTGAGTGTTGGGCCGGGGGTTGGGAGGTTGGGTCGGGTGGTTGGGTCGGGTGGTTGTGAGTTTGTGTCTATTCAATTTTGAATCGGGCGTTGGGTGGGTTGGGTTAGGGGGTTGGGAAGGGTCGGGTTGGGCAGTTGTGTGTTTATGTGTCTATACAATTTTGAATTGGTTGGGCGTTGGGTCAGGGGGTGGTTGGGTGGTTGGGGGGGTTGAGAAGGTTGGGTCGTGGTTACGAACGATAGTCAACTTGACGCATTGCTTAGACTCATATTTACGATTTAAATACTCTGGTTGCTTTTGGAATCGTATTTTACATTTTCTTTTCGCATGCACGTGAGCGTTGTGGAACGTGCTGGGTGGGGCATTTAGGTTTAGTTCATGTTGATTCCCACGGAAAAATCTGTCCTCCCTTTGCAAGTTGGCAGTCGGTATATATGCATAACTGGTATGATACTCCATTGTCTCTCTGAACTCATTATATTCTGTATATTGGACACTGAGCGCTGGGCAAAGATGAAGTTGAACTGTTGAAGCATCTCTCCGGTCAGAGTTGAGGCAATAACAGGTCGAGCCTGCGCAGAACCATAGATTGTGTGTGATGGCGAGTTCCTCAACACGGAGGCACTGCTAGCTCGCCATACAGAGATACAACTCTCCTCGGCGCTAAGGGATTTCCAAATACGGCACCACCCAGACGGTTTAAACTTACTCGCGAATGGACTTATTCGTTTATTACTCTGCACTCTATATTCGAGAATGAATAGCCCTTTGTCAACTGATCCGTTTGAGCATTAGCGGCCTCTAGCTCTAATCTAATTTCCCAGAGAACCTAGTGATCATTTTAACAATGTTTTAACGTTGGCATTTGTGCCAGTAGGCATATGACAGACGTGCACGATGCGTTTGCGTCATATAGCACTAGAACAAGCTTTAACCTATGACCTCTGGCTGGCTCAGAGTTCGAACCTAATTAGGGGATGGTGACCGGCGTGGGAACGATCACGCCAATTGCAGTCCTGGTTGGGCGTGTCGGAGTGTCCTACTCACCGCTCCCACAATTTCAGCCTCAGTCTGTCCTTCTTTACTTATGTTATAATCTCCCCGCGCTAGTCACGATTATCTGCAAGCTGCCCTGATTGTGTGTGTGCACACACACATTGGCTCATCACGTTTGGCACCCCTAAATCCAACGCCGGCTAGCCGATCTTCTCCTCTTTGGTCTCGGGCTGCCGGCATTTACGAACCCTTGGAATCCACCTTCGTCCCCTGTCCCCCTTTTTGACGATAAAAATCCTTTATAATGAACCAACCCGTCAATTCCGAGCGTGAGGAGAGGTCTTCCACACAGTTTACCCTTTCGACCGATCGATCCAGCGACGTTTTCGAGATTTTTGAAGATTGTTTCCAAGCCGTTTCCCACCAAGCAGCCGAGGCGGACAGCTCATTTTTACACCCATTCAGTGGGAGTGAGGATTGCCATATGTCGCCCTTGATGTCGTCATCAAGATTGCAGCATGACGAACCTGTCTTTCCCATGTCCCTTCCAGAATGCAGTCGCTCGGTATTTTCTACACTTACTCGAGACCAACACGACGGATCGTCCTCGTCTAGCTCCTCAACACAATCCGAGTCGTTCTCCTTTTCACCTCCCCTTTCCCTTCCCGGACGGACACATTGCCGCGAGCACACGGTTGAGGCCGAGGCTGGAACTTCCTATGACACTACAATCACTACCCCTAGCCCTGGCCCATTCACGTTGGGATCGCAATCAAAGGGCAAAGGCCGAGCGCTGGACCAGTCTGCGCAGGGGCCATGCGCGCTACTACTTCCTTCACTTGATTTTGAGAGGGAGGAGGTAACTGACGAGGGGGAAAAGGCTCACACTTCCAAACCCAAACGCGTCATAGGGTGGGATCCAGAATCATTTTTTTGTGATGGATCTGAGCCCTCCACAGCGCGAGGAGCTAGCATCGCGTCATTGACCCAATCTGACCACATAGAATTGGAAAATGACCGAAAAACACCCACAGGCTCTGGCCTATCTCGTGCTTTCTCCCAACAACGATTCGAGCCCCCCCGGGTGATGCAAATGGTCGTTCCATCGGAAGATAGCACCAATGTCTCATCCCCTTCGCCCCCGTGGCTTCCTAGAATTGATGCGCCGCCCGCACCTATATCAAGCATCTCGAGGTCGAGATCAACCTCGCTTCGAGATATGTCGAAGCACATCAAGGTCAAACTTCAGCGTTCGCGAGAATTTCTAAGAAGAAGCAAACATCGAGATGACATTGAAGTTAGCACGTCCCCACCCGCCCATACACCCCCTACCGCAACTAGCCCACCGTCGATGGAGACGAGATCTGTTCAATTTTCCCCAGAACTATTCTCAGACGAGAGTAGTATAGATAAGAAGCTGAAGCTGAACCCGAAAGGGCGACCATTCACTGGTTCCCTCCCGTCTGTGACGCGCCCATCGTCTCCTTTCCCATCAATAGCTGTTCCCGTACTCACTACCGACCCGCCAGATATCTGCGGGCTCCCGCTAAATAGCGAAGAGGCCTCTGCGGCTGAAGCATTATCACAGCCAAAAGACTTGTTTAACATAATGTTGCCGGTAGAAACCCGCTTGCACATATTTCTTTGCTTAGTATTGAGCTTCGTGAGTGACTTATCCAGATTGGTCGAGGGAAAATCTTGGAGTGTAGGGATTGCTGCCAAGATGCGTTGGGTCGGCTGGGAAGCCGGTATTCGTGAACTAGTGAAGATTAGCAGGGTATGTAACATCACATTCCGTTTTTCGAGTCTTATGTGGCCTGTTTAGGTTTGCCGTGCATGGCAGTTTCTTGCATTGGATGGCCAGCTTTGGTCAACATTAGGCGCGTCACCTGGCTTTCCGCCGGATTTGCTTTCCAGGATCAGCCAAATCGCGGGGCCTTTTGTAACGTCGTTGCAACTTGAAGGGATACCAACACTTGGGACTAGTGATCTTGCTATAATTGCCAAGAATATTTCGACGATTACCCATCCCGTTCAAACTTTTTCGTCCCATGGTCACCCCCATGGGACCATCTCGCCCTCAATTCATCCTGTAGATGGGTGGCAAACGAATCTCACTGACGTCAACCTCAAGGGCCTGACTAACCTAACTACTCGAGGGTTAATTAAATTTCTTACGAGCTGCCCCATATTGGAGAATCTTTGCCTGCGAGGGTTGGATGCCGTCACCAATACAACTTGTATCGTCATTGGGGATTCTAACCCAAGGCTACGTTTGCTGGACCTTGGTCGCTGCCCAAACATGGATGCTTTCGGAGTGACGTTCATCTGCGAAGCCGTAGAAAGAAGGAAGAGGAGCGCATCCTGTCTAGGGACAGGGGCCATCGGCATGGGCCAGGAAGGAGTACTCGGCGATGGCACGACCCTTCGTGAGCTACGTATTTCCGGCTTGAAACGTGCCTCGGAGTGGGTCATGGCATCAATTGCACAAGCATTCCCTAATTTAGAGGTACTCGATCTGAGCTACTGTAATGGGTTGTCTGATCGATGTGTGGAGAAATTCGTCGAGTGGAAGGAAGATACATTGGTAGATGCGAGGAGAGGCACCTATGTCCAGCTCACCTCAATGGAAGCTGGTCTTGATCCAACAGATCGTACGATGTATAAGCGGCGCGTTACCAAGCTACGGCATTTGAACCTTTCGCATTGCCTAACCTTGACAGACCGTGCTTGTTCTGCCCTTGCCTTCACGGTTCCGAACATGGAGCTTCTGGAATTGGCAGGCATCGGTGCAAATTTGGAAGACGGCGGGTTGGTGCGATTGCTAAAGACCCTGCCTTATATTCGAAAACTCGACCTTGAAGATGCATCGCATATTACGGATGAAGTCCTCACTGCCATTACCCCATCTCCTTCCACGACTCGTCCCTCAGCAGCGATTCCGATAGCCTTGTATGGCGACAGCATGTTCATTTCCAAGCCGCCTGGCACCGTTGTAATTCCCCAGCCGGGAGAGTGCCTCGAGGAACTCATCATCTCATATGCTGCACTTCCCACCCCCGAAGCTGTTCATACACTTATACAGGCATGTCCCCGTCTTCGCAAGTTGGACGCGGGCAACACACGGATCACGGACGAGAGCATCCGGATTTTTGTCGAAGTAGCAAGAAAGAGAAGCATCAAGGATGCCGGCATTGTGGCAATTGACTGTGCGAACATCAGCCGCGCTGTTGTTGATGAGCTCGCTGGGCGAGAAGAAATACGGCCTCGTTACGGATTTCGATGTTGGGAGGTCACCAGCACTGGTCTGGGGTACGCAGACGCTCGAGATGGCGACAATCTCCCTATTGCAGATGGTGAAGGATTGGATGAGTGTGATGAGACTAAGGTCGTCGTGAAGACCTTTAGGTCATGGCAGGTTGTGGACAAGTGGCTTGGGGAGAGAGAGAAACGTAACAAAGCGCGGATGGGGGCTGAAGTTTCCCTTCTTCAGAGAAGGGAAGGTAGAAGTAGTCGCTGGTTTGGCAGAAGGTCCAACTCCGCATCCGGGACAACGACACCAGGTATGGGTGTTGACGATGACGACCGTGGATGTATTATCATGTAAAATTCCGAAAAGATTGTTGTATCGTTTGTGGCTCCTTGTCTGTATTTTGTACCCTGTAGACGCAGATGTATCTTACTAATCTCTGTCCTGCGTGTCCATGAGATCATGAATGATTTTTGGTTGTGCCGATGATGAAGGGTTAGAACGCTCCTATATTCATATTCTTTAAGCGCTTTGTCAACAGAAAATGTACTGGTTCTGTGTATTCGGCCGATAATTGGGAACTTCATAGCAGGCGACGGAATATATATATTTGGGGTCGATTTAAAGATCGACAGGATGCTGTAGTACGTCCGCAGTTCAAAACGAATCATTTCACATTGGTGCAGAATTGCTCCATGTCATTTCTGGATAATCGCCCAGATTGATGAGGAGAGTGCAATGCTGGATTAAGCAGGCGATGCCGCTCCAGCATTGTCCACGTCCACCCATCTATCAGCAGTGTAGCTTGTGTGTTTTATCGTATCCCGAACTTTCCGGTTTGCATTGCCTTGATCAATCCGAGATGCTGACCAGTTATTGTGTAGGGTTCTCCGGCATCGGTATGGCAGGGAAATTTTGTATGCAGACGGCTACAGGATCTGCAACTTAAGTCCAGAGGGCTTGCTTCCCCAGAACTACGCTGCGGACTGGAAATTCACACAAAAGCGCCGGTGTAAAAATTGGTCCCATCGAATGACTCGTTGGGAACGAACGGACGAGTTGCATACGCAATGCATGAACATTCCCGGTCGGTACTCAAGCGTACGGCGATGGGACAAGGAAATATTCGGTCTGTAGGAACAGGTTCCTAACAGCAACATTCTAGTATTGGAACAGGTGAGATAGTCTAGCACAAGTATTTCCTCCCTTTTACAATGTAAGTGCTTCGCATGCGACCATGACAGGTCTTGAGTGCTTCTACAAGGAGAACCCCAAAAACAGATAATGGGCACTCGAATGGGCTATCTCAGCCAGACAGATACGGCGCTCAAATTTCAGAGCGAGTGTTCTAACGACCCTCGAGAGCTATCACTCAGACGCTAGGAGTTCAGAGTGAGGGCGCATTCAAGTGGTGAATGACGACAAGGGGCTCGTGGGACTCCGGAAGCAAATGTTTGGCTGGGCGGCGAACAGTGGACGCGATGCACATCAAGACACTAACCATACATGGGTTTAAGTCATATCGAGACCAGGTAGGTCAGTCGCGTTGAGTAAGCACGCGCAGCAACGCTGAGTAGGCTTTGGATCGAAGACCGCTATTGAACCGTTCAGGTATTTCCGCCCTTGAGGTTACGCGACGCGTCGAGAACACTCACGCCAACGTCCAATGATGTAGTTCCAGCCATAACGCTGTAGTGGGACGTAATGGAAGTGGGAAGAGCAACTTCTTTTCTGGTTCGTTGTCTGTCCCTTATTCTGATAATGACTGAAGGAAGTTCACCCACAGCGATACGGTTCGTCCTGTCTGACGCGTATACGTCCATGTCGCGAGAGGAACGTGGAAGTCTGCTCCATGAAGGAGTCTCTGTTACCACTACGCTTAGCGCATACGTCGAGATAATCTTCGATAACTCGGATAATCGATTCCCAACTGGAAAAGATGAGGTCATATTACGACGCACTATTGGGCTGAAGAAAGATGAATACTCGTTGTGAGTGACCCTCTATTGCTCCTGAATTGCTTCACTTGTGATACAGTTGCGTTTCCCAGAGATAAGAAGAGTGCCACAAAAGCCGACGTCATGAACTTGCTGGAGAGTGCTGGGTTCTCCAGATCAAATCCATATTACATTGTGCCTCAAGGACGGGTTCGTTGATCTTCGTTACACAATGTCCTGCTTTTGAAACCTTTTCGTATAGATAACGAGCTTAACCAATGCAAAGGATCATGAGAGGCTCGCGCTCCTGAAGGAAGTTGCTGGTACAAATGTGTACGAGAATCGACGAGCCGAATCACTTAAGTTGATGGAGGAAACTGGTATGCTCTCGCTCGACGTCTCATATCTTGTGTTCATCCCTCCTTGTTTTAGAATCAAAAAGAAGCAAAATCAAGGAATCCTTAACTTTCATCGAAGAGCGACTCCAAGAATTGGAAGAAGAAAAGGAAGAACTGAAGGAGTACCAGGAAAAAGATAAGGAACGTCGATGTTTGGAGTATGCCATGTATCAGCGAGAGCTCGGTGAAGTCGGGCAAATGCTTGAGGAGGTGTGCATATCATTTATGATAGCGAGAAGGAAATCCACTGAACGTGGATTGCTCTCATTTCCAGATCGAGATAAATAGGAGGAAGGAGATCGATGATTCGAATGAGAAGCGAAATGAATTTGCGGCACGAGAAAAGGAAATTGAAGTGAACATCTTATTCTGCCGTACAAAAATTTATAGGCTCTAACGTTACTATTAGGTTCTGAAGGATCGGATTTCGTCCTTGGAGTCTTCCCTATCTGTTTTGGCCCTTTCGAAGCACGGGTTGACTAATGAAATGCAGGATCTGTTAAAGGCGCGTACGGAGCTTGAGTGCATCATTGAAGACCTTGGTCAGGCGGGTCAGAAAGGGGCGGCACGAAAGAAGGGGCTCAAACGAGAGCTTAATGAGGTGGAAAAGCAGATTTCCGGGGTTGAAACTGAGTTAATGGAGGTTGTTCCTGAGTGGGAAGATCGCGTCGCAAAGGAGAAGGAGGCCCTTGCTAGGTTCGTCTTAATCAATGCCAGACCCGTTGCTAGATATACTCACGGGTGCACTGCCTAGTTTGGACCGTGCACAGGCCTCCTTAGATACATTATACGCTAAACAAGGGCGTATCTCCCGTTTCAAGTCTCGGACCGAACGTGACATGTTTCTCAGAAATGAAATTGATGCTATCGCGGCGCACGAGAAGAGCCAGGCTCAAGTCAAAGCGAACATGCAAACTGAGCTAACCAACACACTCAAGACAATTGATGAGCTTATTCGCAAAGGCAATGAAATCGAGGAGAACCTGAACGAGCGGCGAGGCAAGTTGCAGGAAATGCAGGAAGAAGTCAACAATCTCCAGCATAATCTCCGCGAAAAGACAGAGCAGCGCAAGTAAGTACCATGTCCTGTTGTGCTAAATCTGGGTTTATCGCGTTGACGGTAGGGAAATGTGGCGTGAAGACGCGAAGCTATCGCAACTCAAGAACAATGCCCAGCAGCAGCTGCGGGAAGCGGAGCGGAATCTAGCTAGTACGATGGATAAAGTGAGCCTGGCTGCGGCTACATCTCGGGATTTCCGATTGACTCGCCAAAGGACACAGGAAGTGGCTTAGCAGCCGTTGACTCCATCGCCGAGCGACTCAGGCTTGATGGCGTTTATGGGCCTCTTTATCGTTTATTTGAAGTCCCAGATTCCAACTACAACACGGCGGTAGAACTAACCGCAGGTGCAAGGTAGAGTCTCATGAATCATGCCGTTTCCACTTGTACTTATCGTTCCTTTCAGTCTGTGGCACATCGTAGTTGATACGGATGAGACCGCCAGCAAGGTGCTCGACGTGATGTTAAAAGAGAAGACTGGTCGTGTCACTTTCATGCCTCTCAATCGATTGAAGCCGAAACAGGTTCAATTTCCCCAAAGCTCGGATGCACAACCCCTCGTTAAGAAACTTCGTTTCGAACCCTCTCTGAGCAAAGCCTTCGAGCAGGTTTTTGGGAAAACATGTGTCTGTCAAGACCTCTCTCTGGCTGCCTCATATGTGAGAAGTCATGGCATCAACGCCATCACCATTGATGGTGATAAGGTTGACCGTAAAGGCGCAATGACTGGTGGCTATTACGATGTAAAGCGATCGAGGATAGACGCCATCAAAGCGGTTCGAAGTTGGAAACCCCGCCTCGAAGAGTACACCCGGAATCATGCCGAGGTTATCTCGGCTCTCCATCGCCTTGACGCTGAGATCACGCAATTAACGGGACGTTTCCAAGCAGCGCAAACGAACCTAGATCAAACACATCACATGCGCGATCCGCTTCTAAGAGAGAAGCAGAGTATTCAGCGCGAACAAGAGCGACTGACAGAGAGGGCGACCAAGCTTCAAGGCGATCTGGACCAACTTGAGACTGAGCAAACTGCTCAGCAAGCCCGCAAGGAGGCTTATCAACAGGAGCTTCGCACCCCAATGGCCCAAGGAATGTCGGACGACGAACTCTCCGAAATTGAACGACTTGCAAAAGAAGCAGACTTCCTAAAGAAATCCCTTGTTATTTTGGCCCAAAACAAGAACGAGGCAAGTGGTGCCTTGTTGGGGATTTCTTACGCCTGACCTCACCCCAATTTTAGTCGGCGGAGCGCAAAAGCAATCTTGAAGTCGATCTTAATGAAAATTTGAAACGTAAACGAGAGGAGATTCGTGGCCAGATTGAAGCCATGGACGTTCCATCGAGCATTGCGGCCTCATCTCTTGGTGATCTCGAGATGAGACAACAAGAACTAGCTTCGCTGAATGAATCTGGCTCATCCCTCGAAGAGAAGTTAGCTGGTGAGGACCCCACAGACGATTCAGCAAATGTTTTCTGACTCAAACCGGCTATAGACCTCGAAAATGAACACACCTCAACGACCGAGGGACTCGATAATGCGAAGGAGGCTTTAGATAACCTCCAGACCACGCAGCAAGAAGAAAATCGTGGTATGTCCAGACATCAGAAGAGTACAGAACGGTACTTGGCGAAGCGCCAGCTGCTTATGACTCGGCGTGATGAGTGCAACAAGAACATTAGAGATCTGGGTGTTCTTCCAGAAGAAGCCTTCGAGAAATATACCAATGTCAAGGCGGAACGGGTGGGTGATCCTCGCCCTGATTGACGTTGCTCTGCCTCTAAATGAATAATCTTCGGTGTTATAGCTTGCCAAACGGCTCCGTGAAGTGAACGAATCGCTTAAGAAGTTTGCACATGTCAACAAGAAAGCCTTTGAGCAATACAACAATTTCACCAAACAAAGGGACCAACTACTGGAACGCCGTGACGATTTAGATAAATCCGCGGAAGCCATCCAGAAAATGATCGACACTCTCGATCAGCGAAAGGACGAAGCCATAGAGAGGACGTTCAAGCAAGTTTCGAAGAACTTTGAGGAGGTGTTTGAGCGACTTGTACCAGCAGGGCGGGGACGTTTGATCATGCAGAAGGGTGTTGACCAGGTATGTGCTGTGAGGCTCCGCATATTCAATCGTGTTCAGCACCACAGACACCTGAGGATGATGACGATGAAGGTATGGATGACGAAGAGCGGCCACGCCATAGTCGTATTGACAGCTACACTGGTGTCTCGATCAAGGTTCGCCACCACTGCTTTGTGGTTGGTCTGAGCGCAGAACTCACTCCTGACAGGTGTCCTTCCACTCCAAACATGATGAAGGCTTGCGCATTTCTCAGCTTTCTGGTGGACAGAAATCGCTGGTAGCACTGGCGACGGGTGCGGATGACTGAATTCACTGGCAGATCAATCATCATCCTGACGATATTCGATAGTGTTTGCCATCCAAAAGTGCGACCCTGCACCGTTCTATTTGTTTGACGAGATTGATGCGTGAGTTCACACTTCCCAAGCAATGACAAATGCTCACGGTGAACGATTGGCAGCAATCTGGATGCTCAATATCGAACCGCTGTTGCCTGTAAGCACACGCCCGCCATTCCTCTCATCGTGCCTGCTGATGATGACCTCTAGCTATGATCCACGAGCTCTCTGAGAACGCCCAGTTCATTACAACAACGTTCCGCCCCGAAATGCTAGTCAATGCAGATAAATTCTACGGTGTGTTGTTTAATAACCAGAAGGTCAGCTCTATTCGAAGTATATCGCGCGAGGAAGCCAGGGAATTTGTGGAACAAGAAGCAGTGGCACAGTGATTCACCACCACGTTGCAATCACCTACACTGCTCCGGCTTGTCGTTCATTCCATTGTATTATGGTGCCTATTTGTTGTATCTTACTAATAATTGTCTTCATGAAATTCTAAACTAGAAATGGCTGCTTCGCCGCCGTGACCTTGCTTGTGACAACATTTTGCTTCCTAATGTTACTGCAGCCATCTGTGTATAAATACCAAAATTGCTATCTTATTTGGGCACTTTAACCATTTGGTCAAGGAATGCATACCGTGGTTTTAAATATATTAAATCAAAAAAGAAAGAGGAGCGTGGTGGTGACACATAAATACAACAGAACGAGAGTAACAAGAGGCGCGTGCTCAACATCAAAAGGGGTACGGCAGTGCAACCGTATTCTATTTACGCCATTGATGGTGAGAAAGAAGGACCTGAGGCACGTTTGGCTGGAGAGTCGTTCTCTGCACGGCCACTTGGGAACGCCTCGGGTTCTTTCAGTACGATAATTTCACCTATCTTTGCAGTGAAGGTTGCGCATTGTCTTTCGCGTCCTCCAATTAGGTGGCATGATCATGTGAATGACATTTGTACTGTGGCTCGGAGTGCGCTCTCATATTCGGATGGGGGGATTACTTGTACGCTTCCTTCGAGTCCAAACTCCGCTCCCAAGAATCCATTACCTGGACATAGTACATTGGAATTGTACCCGATTCTTGCAAGCTAATTGGTGGAAAACATGCCGATATCTAATCATTGATGAGTGTTTGATGATCTCTCGAACGATTCTTGCGAAGTTGTCCACAATTCTGGTTCTAATAATGGGGGAGGTGGGGGCACGTGGAGGGAGGAAGTGTTCGGCGGTTCAAATGTGATCCTATGTGGAGATTTCCTCCAGTAAGAGGGGGAAAGAAAGCCCCGCTATGCTGGCCATCAGTTGCAGGGGACAGCGCAGAAGACGCTTTAGGATCGGCGCTATATAAAGCAATAATCGTTCTAAAGGAGCAAATGCGGGTGACGGACCCTGCATGGGCAGACCTTCTCCGGCATTCAAGGCATGGCAAGAGCGATGACGATATAAAGCTGTTAAAGAGATTAGTTTTATCCTCGAAGCCATGTCCACCCACGGACTCTTCAAAATCACCTCGGAATAGCACCAGCTTAGCTGCGCCTCGTCAGGGAGTGCAGGCGGAGTGGAATAAGTAGAACACTGTCACCATTCAAAGCAGACTTTATTGATCTGCGCCGCGGAGGATACTATCAAGAACAGACCGCTGTGTCTTTTGGAGAAGTGGGCGTGTGCTCTTCAGCCAGCACGCAGAGGAGAGAAGGGTGATGATGGGAGTAAACTACCGGACACGATCGAAGTTGCACTCGGAGGAAAGGTGATGGTGACGACAAATGTGGACACAGACCGAAACATCGCAAATGGGGCGCGTGGTACAATCATGGAGATCTTGTTACATCCAAGCGAGCCAGAGATCCCACAGGGTATAGCAAGAGCGAGGTTGAGGCGCCTCCCAGTATGTATTCTTGTCAAGCTCGACCATGGCAGTGAGAAGGGGGGGGGGGACCTGGAAAGGGGAGTTGTTGCGATATTTGCAGAGGAGTGCACTTACCGTATCACACTAAAAGACGGAGCAATAAGGACGGTGAAGCATCGACAGTTGCCAATGACAGGAGCTTATGCGTTCACGGATTACAGGGCTCAAGGACAAACGAATAAGCATGTGATGATCGGTCTAGCACCACTGCCAATGGGAGCGCTAACACTATTCAATGCATATATGGCGCTATCGCGAAGCTCAGGAAGGGATACGATATGGCTTCTGCGAGACTTTGATGAGAAATTATTCTGACAACCTGTGTGTGACGTACTCGCTGCGGAGATAAGCGGTTGGACAAGGAGACTAGGGGCAAGTGGGAGAAATTTGTAACAGAAGGCGGGACATGGTAGAATTGGCACGTAGATGTAGAAGAGGATAGACATGCTAAAAGGAATGTTGAGGATCGATGTATTGGCTGGTCACAAAAGGAGCAACGTGACAGGGTGGAAAAGCACACGTGCAAGGGCGAAGGGTGGGAAAAAAGGGAAACAATATAAACAAGGTGGGAAAAACGCTAAGGAATTCCGGGTTGGTAAGTGACCTTGCAAGCAAGGTAACTATGTGTCGATGATATTGGCAGGAAATGTTGTCACGCAAAAAACACTAGTGAATTCCTCATTCACGCTGCGGACATCGAGGGCCTGGGCCAGGGGATCGATGAAGACTTGTACGTTTTTTTCTAATACCTTTCGTTCCTCTGATAATGCGATCCTTTTGTGCATCATGATAGTTCTTGGCCAATACGCATCGATCATCCTGCCAACATATGCCGGAGGTGCAAAATGTCTGTCCTCCTAGTTTTTCGTAGCTTGAGGATTTTTCCACATGGTCATGCATAGCAATCCAGGACCTTGACCTGGTCGATCGATTATCAAATGGAAAGTTGACTGACATGTGGAAGGCATGTCTTTGGAACGTCTCTTGGCCGAAATAATAATTGTAAATATGAATGGCCAGCTTCCTGGATATATCTGGTGGTTCCTTCGAAGAGCTGGCTACTATTCACGGTTCACAAAGGGACTCAGTATGTTGTCCCAAATCTCCATCCATAGTGTTCCAGTTGCCGAACTGGCTGTTCATTGGCCGAGCCTGCAAGGCATTTGTTTACAGTGGGGGTTCATTTTTTTTCCGTGGGAAAGCGCGTTGTGGCACCTAGTACTCGTGACTCAGTCAATATAAAGAGGTGTCTCATCCTACTGTCTTAGATAGTAGATAAGCATCTGAGTAACTGCACTGGTGCACTGGTGTGATGGGCGAAAATAAACGAGGAATAAGTTTTTATGGAGGGGCCCAAAGGGCCCCAGAAGCTCTGGGGTGCCCATGACCAGTTTTTTCAATTACAATGCTTTATGCAACACTTCATCAGTGTTGCTACATCGAATGAATTGTCGGCATCGACTTCTGATGCTTTGTCATCGCCACCATCGCCGTCAATGCTGCCAAAGTTGTTCTCTCCCATTTTTGCTCACTTTTTTTTTTGTTCTTTCTTGTACTAGTGTGTTTTTTTCTTGCCTCTTCACTGCTGAAAAACTGTGGTATCATGTGTTGTTGTCATCTCCTTCACAGTTCAAGCTTAGATGTCGTTTTTCTTTTGTAATCTTATTCTCAAACTTGCCACCACCAAGCAATACAATGACAACACAACTTTGGATCACTGAGTGGGTTGTTTACAGAGGCGAGTTGCCTTTTTTGTGCAGACTGAACTTGCTTCGAACAACTCTGCAATATGGAATGAATGTAATGGCGCTGGGTTACTTGGTTGGGGACACATGGTGGGGGAAAAACTTTATCCTGACTCTCTTCCAAGCTGCAAGCCTGCCATGCCAGCAGATGTGGGTTGTTTCTTCTTTTGTGGTTCAGAACTTTGCATGGCTTTATGTTTGTGACCTCGACTGATATCACTCAATCAGTCAGTAGCTTTGTGTAGTGAATAAGAGCTTACATGGCAGTCACCGCTTGTCTGCTTTCCTCTGCTGGCGGTTGGGTTGGAATCTGGGTGGCATCACACTGGGAAGGCGATAGGGAGGTAGCTGGGGCCATCGATCTAGAGTATGGTGAGTAACAGTCAGTGCCAGCCTATCCTTGATGGCATCTCTGGGGGAAAAATGAATATACCAACCCGGAACTGACATTCACAGATGACCTTAGGCCTTCCTCTCCAACCCTGCCATCTGTGACCCTGGAACTCAGCCTATGTATGGAAATTTAGTTTATTAGTGTGGGTCCTGCACTTTGGGATTCTCACGTGGATGCTACTTCGGTGCCAGTAGAGGTAAGTGCAGCGAGCTCCTCATGCCTCTCTTCCACCTGTTCATCGGTTAATTTGACCCACTTGATCTTGTTATTCTTCCATCCATCGAGTACCTGGCACAAGTGATTGACGTTAGCAAGCTTTGGTTCGATCAGTTTGCCATCTGGGTAATTGGTCATGTCAATCACGACACAATGTTTGATAGTGAGTTTCAAATAGTTTGCTGGCACCCATTCCATCGATAATCTTGGCTTCCCAGTCAATTTGTCTTTGTATTTGGTCAGTGCATGTTGGAATACTGGGACGATGTCACTCATGGAGACACTCTCTGGTTATCTCGGCCATTTCGGAGTGCATGTTCCTGGCTTTTGCTGTGTAGGCTTTCGCCACACCTTACACCCCATGTTGGTGAGTAGTCAAGAGATGGTTCAGCTACATACTGTCTAATGTGCTGATTGCATGTGCCTCCATAAGGCGAACTTGCGCTGCCATGTCCATTTTTGCCACAACTCCCCAGTAGTACTTCGCCTTATCTGTTGCCCAGAAAACTGGCAAGAATAAGTCTTTCAAGTGTCCTCGAGTCATCATGACAACCACTTCGACATCGCATGATTCATGAACTGATTTTGCCTGTTGCTTTTTAGTACTAGAACCTTGTGCTCATTTTAGGCATTGAACACATACTATGTTTATCAGTTGGTCCCGCGCATGTGTTGCAATGGAATTCATAGATAATTCAGGTGAGATTATCGTTTCTTTTAGTGCACGGTTTTGTCAGGGACCAACCCGGGGTCGAGAGCGTCCGGGTATATCGCCCAGGGCTGAGGGCCCGATAGGGTGTGGCACGGGCATGCGTAACAACGGGCCCGAAGCAGGCGAGGGTCCGTGGCCACTTAGGCTAAAGTGGGAAGTGTGAGAAGAAGGTTGCTTCTCAGTTCCCACTTAGGCTGTGTTTATGTACATGTGGTTGGAGGTCACGTGGGGAGCGCCACGTCATCTATGCGCACAGCCATGTCTGCCCGGTGTAGGAGAAATAACGGCCTCACTATGGAAACCCATTATGGAAATATGCCAGATAAATCACAAAAACCTCATACGACAAGTAGATATGAGAAAATAGAAGGACCTGAATTTTAACGAATTTTACGAATTTTTACGAATTATTATGACTATACACGATAAATCGAAAGAAAGAAAAATAGCAAAAATACTTCAAGCTTACTATCAACGAGACGGAATTCTCGGGGGAATTTATAGCAAATATTAAACCAAGAATTAGGACAATCGACCAAGATTTGACTATAAAAATAATCAGAGAACCTCCATGGAAACTACTTTCCCACGTCCGAACACGTAGCCAAGGATGGAAGTACCACGGAACGAAGATTCCTCAGGAACTAATGCAAAAGTCAGAGTCGTGTTTACAATAGGAAATGTAGATGTCCTCCAAACGGAACCAATGAGAGTAATTACAGGGGAAACTACCTATAAACGATGGAGATATGACTAAAACTCCTGCAAAACGAGGACAATGCCTAAAAGGGAAGCGCGAAGATTAACCAGTAACAACTGAGACAAGCTTGATAGCCCATTAGAAAGGAAGGGATCCAATCTTAATCCTCCCAAATTTTCATAATACAAGGATCATGCGTTAATGAGATATCCAATAACGGGAATAGTGACATTGTTAGAACGTGCGGATTCGGACGACTCCGGAATGGAATCGGAGACTTAGCATGGAAGGACCTCGGCCTCAGCGACTCAGGCGGAGCGCTGTGCCATTGCTGGTTGTCCTAGGGGTCCCTAATTTCGGATCTAGCAGAGGGAAAGTCTCTTGGTGGGGAATTCCAGTCGATTTCGGACTGAGGTTACAAGTTACTAGGTACATTGTATATAAGGAGGGGTCCGGAATCAAAAGGAACAAGGGTAGGACAAAAGGAGACAAAGGGAGATGGAAAGAGGAACAACACCGAGGGTCAAGTGTTTGACTCAATGGTGTTTCCCAAAGGAGGAATGAAGGGCCAAGACCCAAGAAGGAAGGAAGGAGGATGGGAGTCGGGAATGGCTAGCTGACTGAATAGAAAGGAAGCAGCAGCCCAAATAGGAATGAGGGAGAATAGCAGAATTGAAATGGACAATGCAATAGTTGCAAGGTCCGGAGTAAGTCCGGAAAGTCCGAACTCGGAGGTTAAACTCCGGAATATTGGCAAAGGTAATTAAATGGAATGAGCTAACCAATACAATGGGTATAAGCGGAGGTGGGGTCAAAGTCCGAGGTTGGAACTAAGACCGGAAGTTCCGGAGACGAGCCGTGAACGGGATACCGGAGCGGAGGTCCGGAGTCGGGAGCATAGGTTTTGTGTACTCGTCTGGAAGGTGTCGAGGTTGGGGTCGGACCCGGAATGTTCCGGAGTCGGACCGAAGGTGGTGTCCGAGCCGGAGGTGGGATAACCTCTTGGGAGTCGGCAAGGAGAAAGTGATGGAAGGGAAGTAGGGCTCCGGAAGTCGGAGTTCGGAGTTCCAGGAGCCCGGAGCGGAGGTCGGGATTGTATGGATATGACAGACATCAAAAGTCCGAGCTTAGGGAAAAGACGATGTTTGCGTAGGATCCATAATTAAAACATACAACGAAATTTACATGGAAATTATTAAAAATGGGGAACTATAGTTATGCAAATTTTCAGCCCAAACAGTCCAGCCGTTGTGAAGTTATACCCATGACGGGAATATAGAAATCCGCATCATGTGTAATGACACGTGAGGGTGGCGATGCGCAGGGAACCGGCCATCGGAACCGAGATCTGCACTTCGGCAGATCGCGAAGACCAATTTCCGTCCAAATAAGGAAGAGCCCGGTCAAAACAAAGCACGGAAAGTGCAAAACAACCTTAAATCATGAGGGAAAAATCTGAAATAAATCACAGAAGCCCATATGAAAGAAATAAACACCCACGCATATCATAAATCCCGAACAATTAAACGGAAACGGCGCCCGCATACGAACGACTATGGGAATGATGCACGTGATTACTGAATGTGCATGCGAACTTTTGCTAACTCAACGAATACCAGGAAATAGGACACAACCTTGGTACCATTGGAAAGGTGGGAATAAATGAAAATTTATGATACCAAGAACGTGAGAAAACATCCAGAAATGAAGTTAGAAACCTGAAAACGCGCGGGAAAACAGCTTCAAGAGGTCCAGGGTCCTAAATAAAATACATAAAAATATGAAATCTTCAAGGACGACTGTCAGGGCACACCCGCCTGACCCGGCTCCACCTGGCCCAACCTGACCCGGTACCCCGCCGGTCCACCCCTCCTTACCTCCTCCCCCTTTCCCTTCTTCCCCCTCATCCTCCCCTCCTCAGTTTCTCCTTATCTTACTTCTCCTTTATTCTCTCTTTATTCTACATGGACGACTTTCTCTGTATCAATGTACAACTGACCCATCTGCAGCGTGCCCACCATGTACCCGGCCCGGGCACCTCGGGCGACTTCCCGCTGTGCCCAGCACGCGCGCCTGCACCGGATACCCTCGGGATCTCCCACGGAGACACCCGGGTGGTTACGGCTGTGTGCGAGGGTGACGTGGCACCCGTCATGTGATCCAAGCCGCATGTATATAAACGAACCTGAAGTGGGAACCGAAGAAGTAGCCTTCTTCTCAACTTTCCACTTCAGGTAAGTAGTACAATATTTCTCCTTTAATAATAATAACAACTTTCCACTTCAGTCTAAGTGGCCAGGGACCGCTGTCCCACATCGGGCCTGTCAGTACGCATGCCCGATCCGCCCCCCGCCAGGCTCTCGGTCCCGGACGCTATACCCGGACCCCCTCGACCCTGGACGAGTCCCTGACAGCATGGCACCCTTCCGTTGAGGTCCTAGGATTTCCTATGTCCTCATATGTGATATTTTTTTCGTTGATTTCCCCAAGGAGCTCAAGGTACTCCTCCTTGTAGGGCAAGGCTGGCAATGTGCCCTCTAGATAGAGCATTCATAAGCATGTAGTCTGAGTTCATGTAAGTCAAACTTTACCTTTCAAACGTTGGGCCTCAGCCTCAGCATGGGCCCATGCATTGCGAAGCATTGGCTTACGAGTCTTCTTTGGTTTTGATAGGTTATAGATTATCTGGCTGCGAATTTGATGCTTGGAATAGTGGCATCCATGGCCTGAGAACTCTAGCGCAATAGCAGAGATGCGGCTTTCAAAATCTGCCTTCAGCTGAATGACTTGGGCATTAAATGCCTGCTTCACTAGATCCCTCTCCCTCCGCTTGTCCACTGGGACCATTCACTACATTGGTATGTAAGTCCTATTAGTTGCCCTTGAAGTGAGCTTACCTTGTGCTGTTAGTGGCATTGACATCTTCGAGCGACCTGCCAAACGTGAACAGAACTGAACAACTGAACAAACAACAACAAATCAAGGGCCATTCAGTTTGATGGTTGGGTATGTGCCTGTCGAATTTAATAATAAATCTGAATGGAGCCTTTTTTTTTGGCGAATTTATGGTTAATTTACATTTATGCAATCAACCTGTTGATGCTCCTCAGCTTGCTGCTGCCATCCATGTGAGTAGGTATGCCTCACTGAAAGGTTGCTTACTATTTTGGGGACAGTAACGTTCCGTTCCCCCGTTCGCCTCAGGCCTCAGTAGGTCCGTCTAAACATAAGCTTTAATGAGCTGTATATTCAACGGGGTAGAGGTAAAAGGCTACCGGGCCTTTACAACTACTCCGAGGTATATATATGTAAATTACATATCTCGGCACAAATAAATAAAGAAATAACCACATCACTATAATGGGAATTATAGCGATGCAACATAATATAAATATCACTATAATCAGAATTATAGTGAAGTAAGGTTAATCCCTTACACTCACCTGGCATATGATAAAAGCGTCTGACCAATGTGTTGTAGAAGCCGGCTTCATTGAACTCTTTGGCTTGAGCCAAAAGAATGATGAGGCTTATGTCTGTTTCACTAAGCTCTTGATCATTATCAGGAAGTTCGTAAGGCTTGACAGCATGGCACGATGAACTAGGCACGCTAACTGATTGGGCTGTCAAGCGGTTTGAAGATGGTGTTACACTTGGAATAGGTGAGTCCAAATTCATTCCTCCCTGCTGCAGGGCTTCCAGGTTTTGGCAAGTTAATGGTGATCGTGTGTTGGAGGAAGGGATCAAGTGATCTCCCAAACCATCAGGGAAGGGGTACCCCCCCCTGGCATAATGGGCGAGTAGTGTATGGATGCACGCTAGAAGTCCTGGGTTCGATACCAGGCTTGTCCATTTTATGTCATTTGTCCAGTCACGCTGGTTTACGTCATAAGAATTTGGAGCTCCAGATAAGTCCAGTAGTCGCACCGGATACAAATTTCCTCATCGTGTAGGGGTGACAGGGACTGGGAAATTGACCCAACGGTTGGCTACAGTGAAGAAGGACACTCAATGCCTGAGTAATCTGTGGCCACAGAAGACTCACTGCTGTGTGGCATGTCAGCCTTGGGTGCAAGTGAAAGTCTAAAGAGGCTATCACTGACCATGTGAGTGTCAATGGATCCATGCTCGACCTTCTCCCAATAGCTGGACGAAACAGTAGCTGAACTTTGCTTCTGTTTCTTGGGAGTTAGGGGCATGGGTGGCATGGGCATAATGGTGTTTGGATCAGGTAGTTTGAAGGCAAGTGATGGTGTAAATGGGCGTTCAGAACTGTCCTTGCCCTTGCTGACAATGGAATTGGTCATTGTAGAATGGGCTACTTTGGAATGGGTCGGTGTAGAGACTGTGTTTGCTGCTGCCTGTGTCATACTCATTTGTTCCGCAGAAGTGGAACTGTCTTGACCAGTTTTGGAGCGGGATATGGTCATCTGAACCACAGGTGCACTAACGGACTGAGGGATTTTCAAGCATGCATCTAGGAGTTCTAATCTCAACTGTGGCCATCCTTCCTGGCTGTCAGGGCACGCCACTCTGCTCTGTGCCACTGCAAGAGGGCTCGCGGCTCTCGATGCTGACTAAGCTCATGGGGGCCAAACTCTCCAAAACTCTACTTTCTCCACTAAACTTGCTGCGTTCTCAATCCTAAACTCCGCAGTGGGTTCTCCGGGATTCCGCAAGGTCCAGGCTCAACTAATCTACTACCCACTCGTTGTGGGCTAGACAGTTGCCCTTATTCCTACTGTTGGATTCCACTCACTCACACCCATTCTAGCGCATCCTAGCACCTTAGAGAAATTGGGGGAGGGGAGAACTTCTTTTCACAAATCCGGTATGTACAGGATATAAGAAATGATTATTTTTAGAAATAATAGATGAGAAATATTGGTGCCATATGGCACCTGGGTACCTTACTAGGCGAAATAATAAAAAAAGGGTAACAGTAACTATCAATCAATAACTGAAATGATGGCAAAATATGAAAATATATGAAAATAAGCGATATCTCAACGGATTTGCGGAATTAAGAGCCGAAATTGGAAATGAAGCCAGAGATAACTCTCACACAGCCAATAAGCATTTTTACCAATTTATTAGACGCTGTGGGAATGAGTGAGGCTGGAATTCTGGGTTGCTGCTTGAGATCCCCATGCCTGCACATACTCGTGACCTGCCATGCCTAACTTGCCCAACATAGAACTCCGTCAAATCTCCACTGATTGAGACGTTATTGGTATCGTCAGAATCGTACGAATTAGGACTATTTTTAGATACCAAATTTGTACCGAGTTGTCATGTGAATGAAAGTTGTTTCCTAATTGTAGAATTGGGTATCTGAGCCGAGTCTGTGTGTGGGCGATTATCCTGCCTACACCACACCCTCCCATTGCTCCTCTTTCCTTCTCCTCCCTCTTTTCCTTTCTCCTTTGTCTTTCTTCTTTCCTTTCTCTCTTTATACAGACAACCTCTCCTCTCACCTGTGTAGCATGGACATGCCCGATGCCGAGTACTCCGTGTGGGTACTGCACTGCCGGGTACGCTGTGCATCCTCATTTGTACTTCTTTCCTCTGACACTTGGGATTGCCTGCAGAGCCATCTGTGATAGCCTGGCTCTACCCGGGCTGACGTGGCACCCCACACATGACCCGTTCCCGCCTGTATATAAACTGAGCCAAAGCAGAACCAAAGAAGTAGCCTTCTTCTCACTACTGCTTCAGGCAAGTATCTTACTCTAGCTTAGTTTAGTTTAGTTTAGCCTTTCATCCTAATGACAATCACTACTGCTTCAGCCTAAGAAGCTACATAGGGACATAAGCCCAGAGAAGGGCTGCCCACCATACAGTCTCACCACCCCACCACTGTCCAGGCTGCTAGCGCCGAGCTGTATGCCGCTACCTCCACCTCTCTCGAGCCATCCCTGACACTGGCCTTTGATTTTTTTTGAGGCAATGATGTTGATGGGTGCTTTTCGACCCTCATAATCGAATAGCACAACACTCACTGAAAAATATTCACGGTACTATTCTGCACTGAATAATGCACAAGCTGTGCTAATCCTGCATTGTTCGCTGTAAAATCCCAGGTCCCTGGGTTGGCTGCTCTATTCACAATGGGATTTCATGTGGTGGCTGTCCTGTTCACTAGCTACTCCTCATCTCTGTACTATTCCTTGTTTTATTCTTCATCTCTGTACTTTTTGTGTTCTATTTGGCCTTGAGAATATGTCTCTATATACAGTTCTCCAAAAAACTGTTTTGATGTTTGGCACTTTTCACTTGATGGGCTTATAACATTATGGAAACACATTTTAAAATCCTCATAAAATCATGGGATACATATTACCTACTATCTTATTTACAGATCTGTGAATTATCTAAGCAATATGTCCATTTTTGGTAAAGTTATTTAATTTACAAGGCACCCATGTCATCGAAACGGTTTTTTGGAGTGCTGTCATATCCGTACAATCCCAACCTCCGCTCCGGGCTCCTGGAACTCCGAACCTGACTTCCAGAGTCCTACTTCCCTTCTGCCACCTCCTCCTTGCCGACTTCCAAGAGGTTATCCCACCTCTGGCTCCAACACCACCTTCGGTCTGACTCCGGAACATTCCGGGTCCGACCTCAACCTCGACACCTTCCAGATGAGCATGCAACACCTATGTTCCTGACTCCGGACCTCTGCTCCGGAATCCCATTGGCATCTCCGTCTCCGGAACCTCCGGTCTCAGCTCCGACCTTGGACTTTGACCCCACCTCCGCTTATACCCATTGTATTGGTTAGCTCATTCCATTTAATTATGTTTGCCAATATTCCGGAGTTTAACTTCCGAGTTCAGACTTTCCGGACTTACATCGGTGTCAGGGCCCGGCCTCTGTCCGGGGGCGGCCCTACCTCAGAACTGGACACTCACGGTGTCCCAGGCAGCCAGGTGCTGGATCCTACCCCAAGCTCCTCAAACTCACTAAGCAGGGATTGAGTTGTCATGTATTATGGAAGGTAGCTACAACTTGCCTAAGCGGGGATTGAGTTGAGAAGAAGGGTAAGTTTCCCTATTCCCCGCTTGGCTACTATAAAAGGGAAATGTACTGTACAGTTCGTAACGTGACTAAGGGTAGGAGCCAAGCATGTTCCCGCGATGTGGAAATGGTGTCACATGGGTTAAGGCGAGTTGCTCACCTTGACCCATGTGATTTTTCCTGTGGGTTTGCATGTGGGCTGTAGTTGTGAAAGGTGTGTAAAGATGGGAGGATCAGGGAAGTGGGGGGAGGTCAGGGAAGGTGGTTCTGGGGTTGTATGGTCAGGTGTGGTTGCCCTGACAATTGGACCTTGCAACTATTGCATTGCTCCATTCAATTCCGCTATACTCCCTCATTCCTATTTGGGCTGCTGCTTCCTTTCTATTCAGTCAGCTGGCCATTCCCCACTCCCATCCTCCCTCCTTCCTCCTTGGGCCTTGGCCCTTCACTCCTCCTTTGGGAAACACCATTGAGTCAAACCCTTGACCCTCGGTGTTGCCCCTCCTTTCAGCTCCCTTTGTCTCCTTTCAGAGTACCCTCGCTCCTTTTGATTCCAGACCCCTCCTTATATACAATGTACATAGTAACTTGTAACCTCAGTCTAAAATCTACTTGAATTCCCCCAAGAGACTTTCCCTCTGCTAGATCCGAAATTAGGGACCCCCAGGACAACCAGCAATGGCACAGCACTCCACCTGAGTCGCTGAGGCCGAGGTCCTTCCATGCTAAGTCTCCAATTCCACTCCGGAGTCATCCAAATCTGCCAGTTCTAACAAGTGCACCTGGCACAACCTAAAAAACAAAATATCACATGTCAAGTCATGTGACATTGTTTACTGTACACACTAGTACACAGACTGACATCACTGGAGCATAAATACCGAAGGAGTTTGCATTATAATGCCCCCAAATCTAAAATGTGAGCCTTATCTGCTTCACAAACTGCACAAGTCCTTTCCCTCATTGATTCTGGTCACAGTGCTCGCCAGATTGCATCTACTACTGGCCATGGAGCTTCCACTATCACTCGGCTCTGGTCTCAACACCATCCTGATGTCCCTAAGCCCAGTGGTGGGCATCCACACAAGCTGTCAGGGACTGACATTCGCCATGCCCAACACCTCATTAACTCTGGCAAGGCTGACAACTCTTCCCAAGTCACCCAAATGCTCTGAAAAATTACCAACAAGAGCCTCTCACCTGAGACTGTCCACCTGCACTTGAAGGAAGCTGGTTGGAAAGCAGTGGTGAAGAAGAAGCGGCCTATGCTGAGCAGGAAGCATAGAAAAAACAGAATGGACTTTGCAATCAGCCACAAGGAGTGGACTCTGGAGGACTAGAAGAGAGTGGTGTGGTCAGATGAGACCAAGGTTAATCGCTTGGGCTCAGATGGGAGGAAATGGGTGTGGAAGAGGGTGGGTGAGCCTCTCAGTGACAGGCTGGTGCAAGGGACCAAAAAGTTTGGTGGTGGATCAGTCATGGTGTGGGGATGTATGATGTGGGATGGGGTTGGGATGGCATGCAAGATTGATGGGAGGATGGATGGGGAGCTTTACTGCCAAATCCTGGACGATGAACTCCAACAAACCCTATCATATTATGGCAAGAACCCTGCCCATGTCCTCTTCCAACAGGACAATGATCCCAAACATACCAGCAAAAGGGCCCATAACTGGTTCAACAATCATGGTATTAGGGTCATGGAGTGGCCCTCCCAGTCCCCAGACCTCAATCCAATTGAACACTTATGGAATCATGTGAAAAGGAAGCTTGGGGAGTATGAAGAACCTCCAAATAGTGTTCATGAGCTGTGGGATCGGTTTCAAGAGGAATGGGACAAGATAGAGCCAAGGATTTGTCAGAATTTGATTGAAAGTATGCCTAGGAGAATTGAGGCAGTGATTAAGGCAAAGGGTGGCTATACCAAATATTAATAAATATAAATGCTATTTTCTTCTCCCAAAAATCAACTCCAAAAAACTGTTTCGATGACATGGGCACCTTTTAAATTGAATAACTTTACCAAAAATAAATATATTGCTTAGATAATTTGTATATCTGTAGATGAGATAGCAAGTAATATTCCATGATTTTATGGGAATTTTAGAACATGTTTCCGTAATACTATAAGCCCATCAAGTGAAAAGTGCCAAACATCAAAATGGTTTTTTGGAGAACTGTATATCCACGGTCTGCTTGCACTCTACATGTAGTACTCAGCTCTTATCGTGATGATGGCAGGTGGATGATTAAAGCCACTTCCCGGCCCCAATAATAACTATCTTTTGAGCCATGACCAACTTATTGTACATATTGGTTCAATGCAGTACTCCACCCTTCCATGCCAACAGTACTACGTACTGCTGCAGGATTCTATCCTTGCTACTCAGTCATTCAGAAAGGGGCATGTGTTTGCGTCTACATCTCAATATACCAGACAAATCGTAAGCATGCAGGAAGATATTGTGGGTTTAGGCCATTAATTTCTTACCCTCCCTAGGGAAATGAATGCCACAGCATCATTGATCTGCCAGCTGGCTGGAAACGGGAGGTTTTCAGGATCTGTCAATCTACAGGACAATGCCTTAAAGATTGCATCATCATTAAGTCCTACAAAAGGAAAACTTTTCACAATATTGAAGTGCGTTGATCATTCAATTTCAACTCCTATATATAAGATAAAGTCCAATATTGCAGGCACCAAAACCCATCCATGCAGTGCATTACAAGTCTTTCTTTGAGCCACTGTCTGAGTGGCATGGTGTTCCATACTTGATCAATCAGCGTATGAGCAGCAAGATTGTTCATCAGCACTGGGTTGGCACCTCAGGAGAGGAACCTATGTGGGTTTCCAAGGGATTATGGATCCATGTTAAAATGTTAAGGATGGCTTGATCTCATACCATGAGGATGTTGACTTTGAGGTCGTTCCATGTGCTATGGGGCTTTTTATGGCATGTGAAAGCTCCGAATATGGGGGCTACCCCATTGGGGATTGGGCAGGCTTGTCTTATGACATATTGGTGAGTATACAATTTAAGCAGTTTGTGATTCTTACACTGGTTGGTTCCCCATTCCAGACAGGAGATCTGCTTCAAGCTCTTCAAGACTATGTTCAGGCATACCTTGTGGCTGTGCAAGCAAACCCCATGTATCAACAACAGCTGCACCTTCCCAAACATCAGCAAGTTCCTGTCTTGGATCCTCCAGGTCCGTGGAATAAAGTCGACTTGATATTGTTGGGCACATGGATGGCGAATTTAGATCCTACAGAAGACCCGCTAGATGTTGCCGGGTTATTCAATTTGGGTTCGACACTTTGGTCAAAATTTAACAATATGTTTTTAAATGCTCGCAAATCCCTGCCTGGCCCTCCTGAGGCACACTAGTACTAGTCTTCATTCCGATCATGTAGATGTCTGCCAACATAGAGGAATAATATCTTGTTGTTTCAACAAATTCTTTTGTTTTATGTTTTTCCGCTGGCATGAGCGGAGAATGTGTAAATGATAAAAAAACGAAAATGCAACCGATTAACTTGAAAAAAAAAAGGTCCTGAGATATATTTCTCAAGTGCTTTCTGCGTAAGTTTCGTTGTATTCCACGCAGTGGTTATTGAGAAAACTATGTACAACAGATTTCCATTACCAAAGAAAATGTTTGAGTGATAAAAAACTCAAAATGCAACGTATTTACTAAAGAAAAAAAAGGTCCTGAGGGACACATTTAGACTTATCTCCGCCCAATTTACAGCCCATTCTATCCAGCCATTGTCGAGAAAATTGTGTAAAAGGGGTAAAACCTAAAATCATGAAAAATAAAAATTATTGTTATCGCTAAAAAAGGTCCAAGTGTAATAAATGTACAAACACTTTGCAGCAAACCGAAAGTGACTAGCTTATGTGGTTGCTGAGATATGGTGCACTCTTTGTTGAGCCATGTTTTCAGGCAATGAGCAAGGGTGGAACCAAAACGAATCACGTGACAACTAAGCCGAAAATGGCTGTATCTCCGGACACCATCGAACCACGAAACACGAAGTACTCTCACCGATTTGCATTGCACTCTGAACACTGAGCACTCTCTATCAATCATGGTGTGTTCTACCCTGTGAAGAGCCAGTTCTACTGTCAATGGAAGATCTTTCCGATGCCCAAAACTAAGGTCCAGTACACGTGGTGCTGGTCTTTTTGATTAGTAACGACTAATCTTCATTCAGCTCTGCTATTGCTATCGATGTGGCACCAAAGGGGAAGCACTGCATTACCAGACGTGGGCTGATCACCAGAAGGCTGAAAGGTGGCATGCTAGCCATGATCGATATTCTTCAGATGTCCTGGGGATTCAATCGTCTACTTCCACCAGTACTACCGTGAACATGGAAAACCCTCCCTGCGATGCACCTGATCTACTAGAGGACCTATCACACCTAGCTATGAGCTCTAGTATTGTCATATCCGTGCATACCCGACCCCGACCCGACTTCCGGACCTCCACCCTCTTCACCTCCGGAGTCATAACCTACCGCTGCCGTTCCGATACTCACCTTCGGTCCTGGCAACACACCTCCTCCTACTACTCCGCTCCCCCTTCACAACACCTCCACCCTCCCGTTATCCTCCTACGCTTCCCCCGTCCGCTCCGATACTCACCTTCGGACCTGACTACTCTCCTTTCCGCCACTCTCTCCTCCCTCCATTACTCCTCCACCACCCTTCCGCCAAGTTACGACCTTCTACCGTTGTTCCGTACTTCGCACTCGGACACCGCTCATACCTTACTCCGAGCCTCCGTCATAGTCCCTACCTCGGACTTTGACTCCACCTCGGCCTTAGTCCATTGCATTGGTGACCTCATACTACGTAAACACCATTGCCAATATTCCTCGGACTTCCAACCCCGCCTCCGTAACCTCCGTAAGCTCCGCAACCCCCGAGCTTCGCGGACCGCCTTCGGTGCTCTCGCCGCCTGTAATGTATTTCTCGCATTTTCCCTTCATCCCTATTTGGACTACTGCTTCCTTCTATTCTAGCCAGTTAGTCATCATCCCCACTTCCCCTCATCCTCCTGCCCCTCTGGGCCTCGCCCTCTCTACCTCCTTTCGGACGTATCACAGGTCTTGCCCTATGACCTTCGGTACCGCTCCGCTCCCTCTACCCTTTGTTCCTGTTCGGACGTCTTCGTTCCGATTCGGTCACCCTTTGTTCTCTTTGTGCTTTTGCCCCTTCCATTATATATCGGCGCTTGTACATACTCGTCTTGGTTTCAGTCCGAAATCGACCTGAAATGCCCCCAAGAGACTTCCTGCTCACCTACTGTGAAATTAAGGACCAAATGGACAAACAGCAATGGCACAGCGCTCCGCTTGAGTCGCTGAGGCCAAGGTCCCTCCACGCTAAGTCTCCGATTCCACTCCGGAGTCGTCCGTTTCCGCCCATTCTAACAAGTATTTTGATTGTCGAAATGGAAACTTCCCCTCGCAATGCGCCGGAATTACCTGAAAATCTGCCTACAACCTTTCCACCGCCACCACCAGATCCTTGCGGTCCTGAGCCTGATGTACTTCTAGCACCACCACTCCCTGGATTCGATTGTGACCATGCAGGTGCCATATCTCCTTTAATTGATGATGCCCTCCCAAACAGGGAGGATTCAGATAATGGGTCCGGGATTCTCAGCGATGACAAGTCAGATTTCAGTGTCAACCCTTTGCATCCTCAATCTGCATTTTGTGATGAGATCAGCTCAGTCCTCCCCCCCCTCTACTTTCTCCCGAAAATAGTTCCATAACCTTCATACCTCTGATTCGCCAGGTGCCTCATTCCGGTGAGGTGGACAAGAATTCCCCAGACCCATTCCATTCTCTCACTGACACACTGCGCCGCACACCTTATGCTGAAACCCACCATTTGGCACCGATCCGAATTCTGTATCTCTTGGCTATTTGGCTGCATGCTGTTCACCATGTATTATTTCAGGTCATAGGGGTGATTCTTTCTGTGGTTCAACTCATTTTGAGTGCAGCTAACTTTTATCTTGATCCCTGCTCTGTTTCTGCCGTTTTGCTAACGACTGTCCATTCACACATGTCTATAGATCCTACATTTCAAGTCCTTCCCGTATGTCCTGTCTGCCAGGAAGTCTATCCTGCTCACGAATCCACACCGGCATCCTGCATCAAATGTGCACGCAACAACATGGATGTCCCTTTATTTGAAGAAAGCACTGATAAACATGGTAAGGGTGCAAAACCCAAGCGATGAGAGCCCACATTGCGTTTTGCTTTCAAATTGGTCAGTGAACAGCTACAAGAGTTACTGTGAGAGCATGGGATCGAAGAATTATTAGATGAGTGGTGTACACTTCCTGACTGTCATCTGGAGCTTGGAATATTTCAGGATATCTTTGATGGCCATGTCACCTGATCTCTGCTTGGCCCCGATGGGTGCCCATTCTTTTGCAATGAACCTGAGGATCGCATGAATGGTCCTGGTGGTGAACTTCACATTGGACTCACTCTTGGTGCTGATTGGTGAGTACTACTTCTCATTTGGTCTATATCAAAAATGGGCCCCTGAGTCTGTGTGTTCGCTAGTGTCAGGGCATACACCCTGACCTAGCCCATACCCACATCCACACCCACACTCACACCCGCACCTGCGACCGCACCCAGCTGTTGCACTCCCCACGTGCGCCCTGTGCCGGACGCTCAGTGTGGCCGGATGGCCCGGACCTCGGGTCTTGGGTCTCATGTGACTTCTGGATATCTCCGGAAGTTTTCGATGTATTGTGGCCACTGTGGGAAGATGAGAAGTTAACTTCCTTCTCATCTCTGACCCACAGTAGGCAAGTTGTATATACTTGCCTCTCTTCTATATACCATCTCTGACTCACAGTAGGATTGTGCCCTGGACAGGGCTGGCCAGACCAGAGACTGTGGACCATAGGGGAGGGTCATGGGGTGTAAGGGATTAACCTTACTTCACTATAATTCCGATTATAGTGATGTGGTTATTTCTTTATTTATTTGTGCCAAGATATGTAATTTACATATATATACCTCGGAGTAGTTGTAAAGGCCCGGTAGCCTTTTACCTCTACCCCGTTGAATATACAGCTCATTAAAGCTTATGTTTAGACGGACCTACTGAGGCCTGAGGCGAACGGGGGAACGGAACGTTACCATCCCCAAAATAGTAAGCAACCTTTCATGGGGACCCGGGAGTCATCCCCTGACAACTAGGTTCTCTTATTGTCGATCTTTGCAGTCTGCATCTCATTCATTGGGTCCAATGTCGCTCTGCATTGCGAACCTCCCTCCTCATCTCAAGTAAGATATTCTTTTCCCTTCGCGATTTGCCTAACAATCTACTAGGTACAAAACGTCAAACCTCTTTCTGACAGGCATCATTCCTGGACCCAAGGAGCCCAGCCCAGACCAGGTCCAATGCTACATGAGACCATTGATCAACAATCTTCTCCACCTGTGGGAGGATGGAATCGTCATAAAAACTGCCAAGTCACCTGATGGGAGATGTGTTCGTGCGGTACTTCTGTGCATTGTGTGCAATGCACCGTGAGTGCATAAGCTTGGCAGATTCGGCTCTCATAGCCATACCATGTTTTGTACTCGCTGCTGGGTAACTCTCTCTCAAAAACACGAGTTAGTGGCACTCCGGGTTGGAGGTACGTTGTATCAGGCTTATCGCTCTCATACCCTTTTGACTAATCTCAGGTTTCCCACTCCGTACTAATGCCGAGCATCGAAGAATGGGTGAAATATACCTCCATCTTTGGACAAAGGCTTCGAAGGAGAAACATGCCAAACAACACTCTAATCGCTGGTCCAAACTTTCTCACCTCCCCTATTTCGACTTGTGCCGGATGATAGTGATCGATCCAATGCATAACCTCATTCTTGGTAGGATGCATGCAGGGACAATGAGTTGCACTCACAGACTGATTAGATGTCTTTCAGGTCTTAGCAAAAATCATTTCTATCATATGTGGATCGCTCAGAATATCCTCTGACCGAAGCACGAGCTCAACCAGCTTCATGCACTTCTTTCGAAGGTAAGTCTCGCTCTCTTTCGATACCAATGCACACTCTCATCAAGCTCACCTGAGCGTTAGTTCACAGTTCCGGGACACATGGCCACACTCCCATCTGCCATTGGAGAGCCAGCAGGAGGTTCACTCACAGCAGATCAATGGATGCTGATGGCCACAGTTTTTGGTCCAGTCACAGTAAGTATTGAACTATCTGTTACTACTCCCATCTTTTGTTAATTAATATCCTCATGAAGGTACCTTTGATATGGGACACACATCTCCCAATGGATACCAGGTGTGCATGAGAGGCACAGTCTCAGCTAATCAATGACCATCTGGCCAAGAAAGCTCAGGACAAGAAAGAGGTGAAAGACAGGCATCACCAAGCAAAGATATGGAAGGAATTGGTGGCTGACTCATCGGTATGTGGTGATGTTGCAGCCTTGCATCTACTCACTCCAACATTAGTCAATTCCAACCAGAACCACAGAGTCTTCATTGCATGCAGTCACATCGATCTCGCAAGCCACTACCAACTCTTCGAAGTCAACCAAGTTGTGAACTCATTCAGCTAAGAAAACTGCTGCTGTGCCGTCTGCAGATTTGTCCTCCAATCTGCATCCCGATGAACCCAAGAATTTTTCCAACCTCACAAGGGCTTTGAAGTGTTGGTTATCCTGCACAATTACTGAGACACAGATCACTGAGGGCGAAAAGTATATGATTGATTATCTCAAAGGTGTTCATGAGGTGAAGTCTCCTATTTTTCTGGTTGCCAACATACATCACACTTGGAAATTTAGATTTTTGGTCCTGATATGATCAAACCCAATCATCACTATGCCGTGCACACTGCAGAGTTCATGCGAGACTTTGGACCCATGTACGGCTTCTGGACCTTCCTCTTCAAGTGTCTCAACAAAGTCCTCAAGAGTTACAAATCAAACAATCATGGCTTTGGTCAATTAGAGGTGTCGTTCTTCTGCGAGTTCCATCGCACAAACCATGTGTCCCAAATGGTGCATTGGACATGTATATGATAGGAATCATCTGAAATATTTCTCCAGCTCAATGAAGCGACCTTCTCACCCGACCCAGTTGAAAGAGTGGCCGCTGTGCTATTAGTACATGTCAGCCATGATGATCGCAGGACTGTACAAGCTTTAGCAAGGGAGCTCAACAACATGAAGATAGATGGTAGGTCCCTTGCATCACTCCTATGATTTCATTGACCAACCCTGGACATCAGAGGGAGTACCACGCCACATGCTCATGTTGGGACCGGCGCCGAAGAAAAAGATGAATCTTTCAATTGCAGAGTGTATCTCTATAATTGGGCATCTCCAATGTTGCAACTCAACTCTTCGGTTGCATCAATACACTGCCATGAACCCCCCTCCAAATAGTATTCCTCTCCCAACCTCCTGCTGGAATCACCACTATGCTGTGGTCAGATCAAGGTGATACCTTGCATCTCAGTCAGCCAAGAACCCTCGGAGCTCGCTGGTTGAAGTGGAACTTCGAGGCACATGCATGTGTGGGGAGCTCACACAAGTTTTATCCTTCGATGAAGACCTGGGTCTAGGTGGAAAGAGAGTGTCTTTTGGCTTCGTGAAATGGTTTTATCCATATGTCCCTACACAGCCAACAGTTTGGGATCCATTGTACGTATCTCGTTACAATCGTTCGGCTATGTTCCTCACTGACGGAGCCTTCCCAGTGCCAAAGAGGTACATATTAAACTTTGGTATGCTGACAAGTGGTGGAACAATGGGATCATGTCAATCATTGCATTAGACAACATAAAGAGCCATCTGGGCCAGCTTGAGCTTGAGCTTGAGGGCGTCAAAATTTGGGTCACAATAACCATCAATCCTGTAAGCTGGCTTGGCTCTCCAACTTTTTCTTTTTCTTACACTCATTCATACTACAAGGATGGGCAGGGCATTTAGCATCTCAAAATATTTTACGATGTATAGTTGACACTTGTTGATATCTATTTATGCAAGTTGTCTTCGCTCCATGTTGGCACTACCACCTCAATGCTCTTGAACCTCTCTAGATCTAACACAACTTCACCCTAGTAAGCAAGGCAACACTCATAAATGAAAATGATGTATATTTGTGGCCATACAAAGGTTTTTTTCGAAGTGGCCATTTGGACTATGCTCTACTAGTTGACCCCGTCTCGTTGCTCAAGTTTCTCAACCACATCTAAATCTATCTTGTTCAGCATCTCATCAGTCACATCCATTGCATCCCACCAGGGTAGGTTCTCAGTGATAACCATTTTTGCCTTCATCTCTGCCTTGATTGCTGGACTGATCAATGATCCCGGAACCGAGCACTTCAGAAGTTGCCCTGAGAATGTCTCGCCTATAGGCTCTGCATGTTTTGCTGGTCTATGAGTGTTACGGGCATGCATTGTCAGGTTCTTAATGCATGCCTGTGCTCCCATTGCCTCTTTCCAGTGATGATCAGCAGCATAAAGGAACTTGACGAACCTGCATCACCGGTCAGCATTGTTCCCTATCCATCGCTAAGCAGCACTATAACTAACCTTTGTGCTTCTCCACTCATTCTGTCTACAGACCAGGCGGTTTGTATCCCCAGTGTTATGGAAATGGGAATTTCCCATTTTAGACTCTTATGGGTTCTGTATCACATGATACCAATCAATAAATCAACGAAAACCCACTGCCACACTACCTGTTCAACAACATGTTAAACCATCTGTGAAACCACCTGTAAACCCTTATGTCCAACCCCCTTCCCTATTCCTGTGCCAGAATGGACGAAAATGGGCGCTTCCGGCCCATTTTTGTAACACCCAGAGTCTTCGGGTTCAGTGTCAATTTCCATCTCAATGTCAGATGACATGTAATCTGTCAGTATGACGGTTTCCATCTGTGCTTTTGTTGCAGTCACTTTATTTTCTAGTCCACTAGTGCTGATGCCATCATGTCTCCTTGATGCTTTCTGGTACACCGGCATCATATTAGCATCTGACAGCCAAACACCCGGAGTAGCATCACATACTGATTTTAGTCATGCCATCATTGCGTTTCACACTCGTGCATTCACCAAAGTTTCACGTCCCTTGGGAGTTTGAGACCTACTCCACAGGGACTTGAGGTATGTGAAGTGTTGCAGTACCATGTTGAAGATGTCCTTCTCATTGATTTTCCCTTCTTTAATGGCTGCTTTGATCATCTATTGCGAGGCTCACATAAGGACACCTTGCACTTTGTTAAACTGATATATGCACTTCTTTTTGTAGGCTTACCCTGACCGCCTCTTCCAACACTTTAAGGTTCTCTGCTGTCTTGGGTCCTGACAGCCACTGTGGGATCAAGATTGGCGTTCCATCTTCTCTGCATGGCCATGGGGTAGTTGATGACGAAAGTGAGGGCAGATCTGCTGCCTTGGGCTTCTTCACACTACAGCCAATTACATCATGCAGCGATTGGCAAACCATTTCCTAAGAGGTGAGCAGCCTGGTTCAGCAAGTTCTTATGCAACTCTGTAATCAACTTACTTGTCCCTTTGGTGGCCATTTACCCTTTCTTGTTTTGTTTTGGTGAGTGCCATTATCCACAGCCCCTTCCTCCGCCTTCTCATTTGTCTTGTCTAAGTGCTGGGCCAGAGTTTCTTCAACCTTCTGTTGAACCAGGGTTTCGATCAACTCCGCCAACGATTCCTTGGAGTGTGAAGGACCATGGTGAGCAGCATAGTGTGCTGGACCCACATCCTGGCCATGAGCATTGGTAAGACCCTGGTCTATGGAGCAGGGGGATGACACCTCATATCCGAAGCTCTGGGCATGAGATGGTGCGCCTGAGAGTGCAATATTTATGGGTTAGTAGACTTGTAATATCATGAATATAGATCGACTGACCAGAGGTCATCAGGGAGTTCTGAATGTACATAGGCCCACCCACGCTTTGATGGTAGTTGGTGGGGGTCGGAGTGCTCAGTATTCCTAACAGACATCAGTGAGCATCCAGATCTATCCTATTGAACCTTTCTGATCCTCACCATTGTTTGGTAGCATGAAGTATCCACTACTAGTGCCATTAATAGTAGTACTAGCAGTAGTACCACTATTCATCCCTGGCCACATGAAGGGCAATGTCGTCGTCGGCATATTGTTATTAATATTCTGGGAGGCTGGTGTGTATGGGTTATTAGTTGATGCAGGTATGGTACATGCGGTGTTATCATACCAAGTAATGGTGCTGATTGCATTTTTTGCAGTGTGTGGACAGTTGGACCAGGCTCGGGAGGATTTCCTTCAGGATGCAAATTCATGGTTTTTGCCCAATGCAATGCTACTAGTGCTAGTGCTTTAGTGCTATGGGTTTGGGGGAAGGGGGGGACTGGCTTGAGGATACTGGATATTCGTGCTATATAGCAGAAAAATACCAGCCGTACCAGTGCTCTGGATTACCATTTCGGGTCTAAAAAGCCGAAGCTTTGTTTATCTGTATATCAATAGTGGGCGAAAAGCTGAATCTTTAAAGCCGAAGCTTTGTTTGTGTGTATGTACATCGTGATCTGTTTAGGTGGAATATTCTTGGAAGTATTCAGCATGAATAGTACCAGGATCAGCTAGCCGCATGCCCTAAATTAGGTCTGTTAAATCCCTGCACTATTCCTGATAAATCCACTGCAGGAGTTCTGTCCTGTTCCTGTCCTTTTCTGTAGTGTTCTAGTGTGCACAATAACAGAGGATATCATGACTATTCCTGTACTATTCGGCCCAAGAATATTGATCCTCTAAATGCAGTGACTGTGGTGCCCCAGACAGTCTAAGACAGAGGTCTCCCTACAGTTCAGGTTTGTAGCTTATCGCAAGATTAAGAACTACTCACCAATGCGCGAATATCCCACATCAGAGTGCGCACTTCTAACAACGGAGCCAAGAGGCTGTCCTTTACCATATGTGCCATCTCTTGCATAAATACCTCTCTTGGAATAATCCCCTCAATATTTTTCAGGTCCAGTTGCACTGTCTTGGGCAACTGTCCTGCATTGTTGTGAGTATATATGTTTATGAACGAAAAAATACTCACCATTCACTTTGCATGCCATGGTATAGTCCAGGACATAGCTGTCACTCGGTTTTTTCTTGAAGAGCTCCACTTCTTTGTCATCCAAGGTGTATAGCCGACAGCTTGCTTGAATGTAGCTCTCAAACACACACTCAGCAGCTAGCCACAATGATTTTAAGTAGTTTAGCTCTGTTAATGTGAGTGAATCATCTCCAAACTAACTACCCATGTGCTTACCATCCTCCTTATCCTCATTGTTCATTCAATACATGTTGAATGATAGTTGTTCTGTGGTTGCGCAACTAGTAATGTTGGATTGTTATGACCAGAACTGAATTGTCACTTAAAATCGTGTGTCACGTTCTGTATTGTAACCCAACCCAACTGACATGACGATTATCGACTCTTTGACTGAGCTCCCCCCCTTTCCCTGCCTCCTCTATAGGTGGTCCATACACATCAATCGTTCCCTCAAACTTCAACCATCTCTGCGTTCATATCTTGGTAAGCGCTCTCCTTCAAATTATGTTGAACTCTCAAGAGTTTGCCCTGCAGGATCAGGATGGTGAGAAGGCGCAAGCACACTATAGTTATGACCAATTTGGGAATGGACTCTCTATCCCTTTCCCAGAGTGGTGCAGTGAAACTCAAAAAGGCATGGTTAGCCATGGACGCAGCCCATGATGAATTGATGAAAAGTAAGCTTGAGACCACTGGACATCGCCTTATCTCATCTTACAATCTTGTGGCTGGTAGCGACCTCACAAGCTGTTATTGATGGGCTCTGAGAGATCCAAGATGGAGGGCCTGTAGGAGAAATTGTTGACAACTGGGAGGATGAACCCGCGGGAGATCAACTAAATCTACTTGAGGATGTTGGGCTTAATTATGAGCAGTTATGTCAACTGATATCAACGATAGCCCCAAAGCCATGAGTTCTTCTCATCTTTAATCGACTCAGTGACCATTCCAAACCATTTGTTCAGGTGGAAGAAGGGCCACAAGTGGAGTACCCAGATGTCCAGGCTTCATGCACAATGGACTGAGCAACTCAACTCTCTCACAATGCTTTATCTGTCTATTAAGACAGCCAATCCAACCTGTGCACCGGTGCATTACCTAGAACCCCTGCCAGATAGCAACTACGTCAAGATATGGTGTATCGACATCTTTGGTGAGTTATATTATACTGTATCTATTGTCCATCCTTATTTTTACCTTGCAGATGGTCGTTTGCATGAATATATACCTTGGGGTGGGACAGACAACTGCATGCATGCGCTCTTGCATGCCGGATACCTTCCCCCAACGCCAACGGACCCTCAGGTGGCCTTCTCCCTGCGAACACTTGATCTCCTCCACTCGCTTTTCTGGGTGGCATCAAATTTTGGTATTCAGAGCTTTTCTCGATTGCTCACTGATATGCACAAGGTATACACATCTTTCGTTATTTCATTCTCATTTGCTCATGTAGAACATTAGACTGTATTCCAGCATCATCTGAAAACACAACTTTCACTCGCATTTGACATGTATTACCGCATCTTGTCTCAACTGCATGGGTTGGTTCAGCGAGAACTTGGACATGATGTACCGGATCATCGGCTCAAGCATTCATGCCCTGCCTGCCACTATAAAGTAAGTAATATAATTAGAGAGCTGTAGCACATGTCTTAATAGTTTGGCCTTTCAGGTTGAGAATGAGCAAGAGCGCCCTGTTCAGTTTATCATAACTGGCAATGGGAACACGTCCCTCTCATGGCTTCATCATCACTTCGAGGGTGATGCTCGCAGATTTGTCAGCGATTACTTCATTTCCTGAGAAAGTGTTGACCAGTTTGCTAGTGCTCAAAAGCATTCACGATGGGGAGCATCAAGTGAGGTAAATGTATCCTTTGCAACCATACAACAATTATTGACCTTTTTACTCTATAGACAAAAGAGGACCCATTGGTGTCAACTATATCGGATGCCTGCTTGGCTTGGAAGAATGCCCAGCCAATCCCATTGAAGTCAAAGGCTGGAGCTCTGCAAGTTATGGATGAAACAGGTATTTTTTCAGTTGTTTGTCGGCATGGGATTGTGCAGTTCCTCGCTGATATGGTTCAAAGTGGAGAGCTGTGAGCAACAACCTCCGATATCTGTGGTCTGGCTAACGTTGTCACAGAGCAAAATACTCATTGGCTTCTACTGAGAAGCTCATAGGCATGTTTGGAAAGAACATATTATTTGCGTATGATGTTGGGTGCATGTCATGACCAACAAATCCCGGGGCTCCGTCAGCAGTGGACCAATGCCAATAGGCGAATCCGCTGACCCGAAACCCATCCTAACCAGCCCCCAACCCAATGTCTGGCCCCCTGCCTTATTGTGTGAGACTTGGCCAACAATCAGAACCTAGACCCTGCTGGCATTCCGACCTTACCTCCAGTTCCCGAGCCCTTGGCGCTCCCGGCATTCAGTCCCTCCAGTTCCTATGCCAGCCTTGTCTCCATCTGAACCACACTCATTGCTTCCCACTATGTGGTCACAGCCATGCCCCGCTTCCATGCATTCCGCACCCTCTGCCCACTCCGTGCCCTCTGCCCATCTCTGCACCCTCTGCCCACTTCTGGTTGCCCTTGACACCTCTGGTTAGGTCAACACTCCCACTCCCCTCTGTACCTCTGTTGGCCTTCATGCTGTCCTTGTGTGACAGTGCTGACAGATCAACCTCTGTTCATGGACTTGTGTCAGCACCGCACCGACCCCGCTTATTTGTGGACTTGTATCGGCGCCACATGCTGACCTCCGCTTTTGTCCTCTGGCCATTTTTGTCACTTGGCAACATAACATTCATTCCTTGCCGAGTGCCTATTATGTTCACCCCAATATTGGCATTTGATCCGTGTGCTATTGCACTTTCCTATTCATTCATTTAATCTGTCAATATTGGTACTTGATCTGCTTTGACTTTATTCATTCCTTGCCTCCCATTTCCCAGGTTCTTGTCCTTGGTTTAGTTTGACAAGTCCCCGCTCATTTCTGCACCAGACCGACTGGTCCCTCTTTTGATTTCTCTTATCTACTTATACCTTGTAAATACTTTTGGGGACCCCAGTCTGAAATCAACTAGAGTACCCCCCCTGTCTGGTCTGAGTCCCTCCTTCTGCAAAGGGGGCTTCCCCCCCTCTGAGTCCATGCTCGCAGAGTCCGCGCTCCTCCTACAGGTCCGCTCCGCCTGCAAGTCTTGTTTGAAGTCCGCTGTGAGTGTCAGTCTGTAAATACAGGATCTCCCCCAAACGTCAAGCTCAGGGCACAGCGCTCCACCTGAGTCGCTGAGGCTGCAATCCCACTCTGCTAACCTTGAACAGCGCTTCCGGATGCACCGCATATTTCCGCCCGCATATCCGTGCGCGCTGTAGGAGAAATAACGGCCACACTATGGAAACCCATTATGGAAATATGCCAGATAAATCACACAACCTCATATGACAAGTAGATATGAGAAAATAGAAGGACTTGAATTTTAACGAATTTTACGAATTTTTACGAATTATTATGACTACACACGATAAATCGAAAGAAAGAAAAATAGCAAAAATACTTCAAGCTTACCATCAACGAGACGGAATTTTCGGGGGAATTTATAGCAAATATTAAACCAAGAATTAGGACAATCGACCAAGATTTGACTATAAAAACAATCAGAGAACCTCCACGGAAACTACTTTCCCACGTCCGCACACGTAGCCAAGGATTCCTCAGGAACTAATGCAAAATTCAAAGTTGTGTTTATAATAGGAAATATAGATGTCCACCAAACGAACCCAATGAGAGTAATTACAGGGGAAACTACTCATAAACAACGGAGATATGACTAAAACTCCTGCAAAAACGAGGACAATGCCTAAAAGGGAAGCGCGAAGATTAACCAGTAACGACCGAGACAAGCCTGATAGCCCATTAGAAAGGAAGGGATCCAATCTTACTCCTCCCAAAATTTTCATAATAAAAGGATCATGCGTTAATGAGATATCCAATAACGGGATTAGTAACATCAAAAGTCCGAGCTTAGGGAAAAGACGATGTTTGCGCAGACTCCTTCCCAGTCGCTCACATGATTTCTCCGAGGTTTAGCCACAACTTACGTTGCCCTCCGAAATCTGTCGAGCGACTGGTACAACTTGCAACACGTGATGTTCCCACACTAAGTTGTAATGAGTTGTACATAGGTTACGGAATATAATTTTTAGTATTTACGCATGCGGTCATTGCACCCAACCCAACCCGTGGAGACTAAGGGAGCACATCCAAGGTTGTGAAGTCAATATCCGGGGGTGCGCGAAGTTTAACAGTTTATATATTACTTAGTTACCAGTCACTTGTTTGTGCCCGGTGGCATAAGTGGTATGGCGTTAGCTGAGGCTATGCAGTCTTTTTAAGTGGCACATGTTCAATTCTCACTTAGGCAAACTTTTTTTGGGCCCTCCCATGGAATAATTGTTTGAAATGGTTGTTTTCTGTACACTAAGGAATGGAGGGTATGAAAAAAAAAAGTTTCCTAAGTGAGAATTGAACATGTGCCACTTAAAAAGACTGCATAGCCTCAGCTAACGCCATACCACTTATGCCACCGGGCACAAACAAGTGACTGGTAACTAAGTAATATATAAACTGTTAAACTTCGCGCACCCCTGGATATTGACTTCACAACCTTGGATGTGCTCCCTTAGTCTCCACGGGTTGGGTTGGGTGCAATGACCGCATGCGTAAATACTAAAAATTATATTCCGTAACCTATGTACAACTCATTACAACTTAGCGTGGGAACATCACGTGTTGCAAGTTGTACCAGTCGCTCGACAGATTTCGGAGGGCAACGTAAGTTGCGGCTAAACCTCGGAGAAATCATGTGAGCGACTGGGAAGGAGTCTGATGTTTGCGTAGGATCCATAATTAAAACATACAACGAAATTTACAAGGAAATTATTTAAAATGGGGAACTATAGTTATGCAAATTTTCAGCCCAAACAGTCCAGCCGTTGTGAAGTTATACCCATGACAGGAATATAGAAATCCGCATCATGTGTAATGACACGTGAGGGTGGCGATGCGCAGGGAACCGGCCATCGGAACCGAGATCCGCACTTCGGCAGATCGCGAAGACCAATTTCCGTCCAAATAAGGAAGAGCCCGGTCAAAACAAAGCACGGAAAGTGCAAAACAACCTTAAATCATGAGGGAAAAATCTGAAATAAATCACAGAAGCCCATATGAAAGAAATAAACACCCACGCATATCATAAATCCCGAACAATTAAACGGAAACGGTGCCCGCATATGAATGACTATGGGAATGACGCACGTGATTACTGAATGTGCGCGCGAACTTTTGCTAACTCAACGAATACCAGGAAATAGGACACAACCTTGGTACCATTGGAAAGGTGGGAATAAATGAAAATTTATGATACCAAGAACGTGAGAAAACATCCAGAAATGAATGAGATATAGGGACATGAAGTTAGAAACCTGAAAACGCGCGGGAAAACAGCTTCAAGAGGTCCAGAGTCCTAAATAAAATACATAAAAATATGAAATCTTCAAGGACGACCTACTATAACAACGAACAATACATTTGGAGGATTAGGATGTGATAATACAAAGGGGAATCAGGGAATATGAACGAAATTCACGAAAACCACTAAACTACGACGGACCATGGCGGGAATTTTAGGGAACGATATTCTAATGAAGTGGAGAGCTATAACATATTCATTTGAGTAATTCTTGACTACTATCAACTTTTTCTTTCAGTTTTAAACCTGAATAATTCATTCATTTACCATTTCAGTCTCATTTTAACTAAATGTCACTAAATAAAAATGGAATAAATCAGCTGAAGGTCTCAGCACAGCCATACGCATAGTAATGCGAAGTTTGAATTCAGAATCATCGAGTCATAGCAAATTTAATGGTATATATAGGGAATTTGAAATAGGTAACTGCGGCAAATGCAGCGCAGCCAAGTTCCAATTAACCATTAAAATAGCTTAGGCGAGGGAGGACAATAAGAATTCTAGGCGCAGTCTGACCGCAGTAGAACCGCAGTTCAGCGCAGCAAAAGCGCAGTAGAACTATAGCATGAAAATTTCATTTTTATTCAGCTTGAGAAAAATACACTGTAAATAAATCCTGTAAATAGAAGGTAGAGTGTGAAAAAGGAAGGCGACCCAAGGAGTATAAAAGGGAGACCGTTTCTGCGACTTTTCGCCCCCCCTTAGAGAAGTAAGAAAATAGAGTATTATTTTTCTCAAGCATTTCTGGTTGTCACTCCAGTGCGAAAAAGTGATATACAGTTAAGATTGCCACTGTAGTAAAAGGCAGCAATTAAGGAGAGAAATATTAAGTAGATATTTCAACAGGAGAGCTGGTTAACACTCCAGATTTCAAAGTGTAAACACAAAACAGTTATTTTGCTACTGTTAAAACAAGCAATAAAATAAGACAAAAATAAAACAAACTCAAGGGACACTCCAGACACCATCCAAATTCATTAACTCAATAGAATCTTTGAAACTTCACCAAGTAGAAGATTAAATTCAAGTTTAAATCCAAATTAAGCAACACTACACAGAATTACACCTAGACAAATTAATAAATTTCAATAAAGAAACAGCTCCACAGGGCTCGGTTTATCTGTAAGTCAATTCCCAGGAACTTTAAAACTAACCCATAAAAATAGAATTAGCCAAAACACTCGGATTGGTACTATATTTACAATAAATAACACTAGTACACTTCCTAAAGAACCAGGGAACAGCTTGGTGGTGGTCTCGTTTGAACCTCCCAACTGACCTTCCTTCGTTTTCTCCTTCAGCGCGCTCCAACAGAACTCTGCATCACCTCCGACCTCAACTCAGACAGAACCCAATCTGCCTTCTATCCACCTTCTGACAGTGTTCCGACTCTGACAGTACTTCCGACTCCAACAATAATCCCATCTCTGACAGTGCACCTTCTCAGCAACTTTATCGAAATCATCGATTGGGGATTTGGTGAGAGAAGCCAATTTTAGGTGCTGTACTGGCTCTTTTCATGGCACTGCTCACAACAGATCCTGCCAGCTAGACTACCTTATCGGTTTACAGAAAGGGGCAGGTATAGAAGATGGTGAGGGAAATGAACACGTCTTTTCAGAGAGCAATGCTCTTGCCCCTGTCATTCGTCATGCATCTCCTTATTACCACCACCTTCGAATCCATATCCATTTCTCCAAATGGGACGAAACCAAATATGAAAAACTAGGTGCGTCTCTTTTACTACATATATGTTCTAATCATTCATGATGTTGTACGTTGATAGGCAATTTCCTGTTAAGCAACTTCAAATCTGCCAGCAGGATCATTAGTGATAGTAAAAAAAACCCTCAATGCCACTCAGCAGCTATCCCCCAACTTTGACCCTGACCAAGACTGCCCACAGTGGTTATCTGAGGAGCGCAATTATCTTTTGTCCCTTTGATCCCAACCTGATGACGAAAAAATCAAGATTGAGTATTTGGAAGCCATTGAACATGTCGAGCATGCTGAGTAAGTGGTTGTTAACCTCTATTTATTATGTAGCCTTGAAATTGTTCTATTTTAGGGCAACCATGCATTACTGGACAATGCAGGCTGCGATGCCACATATTGGCCAGCACCTGGCTCAGGCGAACGAAACTCTCAACACTGCCCATCTAGCTGCCTCAGCAATAGAGGCTAGGTTGTCACTCACCACACCTTGGACACCCGATTCCCTTCAGCACTGCGAAGCTTTGGTTTTGCGCCAACGATGGGACTACCATCAAGTTCTTGATGAACTTGAGCAGCGAGCCATATCACTGTCAGGGACTCATCCAGGGTCGAGGGAGCCTGGGTGTAGCGTCCGGGGCCAAGAGCCTGGTGGGGGGCGGATCAGGCGTGTGTACTGACAGTGGTCCCTGGCCACTTAGACTGAAGTGGAAAGTTGGTATTGTCATTAAAGGAGGAATACTGTACTACTTACCTGAAGTGGAAAGTTGAGGAGAAGGCTACTTCTTTGGTTCCCACTTCAGGTTCGTTTGTATACATGTGGCTTAGATCACATGACAGGTGCCATGTCACCCTCGCACACAGCCATAACCACCAGGGTGTCTCCATGGGAGATCCTGAGGGCATCTGGTGCAGGCACATGTACTGGGCACAGTGAGGTGCCTGGGCTGGGTGTATGGTGGGCATGCTGCAGATGGGTCAATGGTACATTGATACAAAGAAGGTTGTCCATGTAGGATAAAGAGAAAATAAAGAAGAAGTAAGATAGGAGGAAAGTGAGGAAGCATGGATGAGGAGAGAGGAAGGGAAAAAGGGGGAGGAGGTGAGGAGGGGTGGACAGCGGGGTACTGGGTCAGGTTGGGCCGGGTGTAGCCAGGTCAGGTGGGTGTGCCCTGACAATCATGCCAACTGGAACTTGAGAAGATCGGTTTGCCGAAAACAGGTGAGGACTATGTTATTCAGATTACATTTTGCCTCATTCATTCATGTAGACTATAAGGCTCAACAGCAAATTTCCGCATTGGTGGCCAAGCGAGGGAAGTCATTAGATTCGGTACTCCAAAAGTACAACAACTTGGCCGCTTCTATGGATCCTCCCAAACCAGCGCTTACATGGCAAGATGTCACGGACCTCAACTTCCTGTCTGACATCGTTCTGTTACGTGGCCAAGAAGATATCAGAGAGAAACCATAGTTCAAACACCACTTCTGCAAAGCGACATGTGCCTGGCTGTTAGAACCAGGCGGATTCGGACGACTCCGGAGTGGAATCGGAGACTTAGCATGGAAGGACCTCGGCCTCAGCAACTCAGGCGGAGCGCTGTGCCATTGCTGGTTGTCCTGGGGGTCCCTAATTTCGGATCTAGCAGAGGGAAAGTCTCTTGGGGGGAATTCAGGTCGATTTCGGACTGAGGTTACAAGTTACTAGGTACATTGTATATAAGGAGGGGTCCAGAATCAAAAGGAACAAGGGTAAGACAAAAGGAGACAAAGGGAGATGGGAAGAGGAACAACACCGAGGGTCAAGTGTTTGACTCAATGGTGTTTCCCAAAGGAGGAATGAAGGGCCAAGGCCCAAGGCCCAAGGAGGAAGGAAGGAGGATGGGAGTCAGGAATGGCTAGCTGACTAAATAGAAGGAAGCAGCAGCCCAAATAGGAATGAGGGAGAATAGCGGAATTGAAATGGACAATGCAATAGTTGCAAGGTCCGGAGTAAGTCCGGAAAGTCCGAACTCGGAGGTTAAACTCCGGAATATTGGCAAACGTAATTAAATGGAATGAGCTAACCAATACAATGGGTATAAGCAGAGGTGGGGTCAAAGTCTGAGGTCGGAGCTAAGACTGGAGGTTCCGGAGACAGAGACGCAAACGGGATTCCGGAGCGGAGGTCCGGAGTTGGGAGCATAGGTGTTGCATACTCGTCTGGAAGGTGTCGAGGTTGGGGTCGTGTCAGGGCACACCTGCCTGACCCGCCTCCACCCGGGCCCACCTCACCCGGTTCCCCTTCTCCCACCCTGCACCCCTCCTTCATACCCCTTCCCCCTCTATCCCTCTCCCACTTCCACTCCTATTTCCATTTCTATTTCTATTTCTATTTCTACTTCACACGGACGACCTTTCCCTTATATCCATGTATTATTGACCCGCCCGCGACGCACACACGATGTGCCTAGCCCCGGACGACCCCGGACGGCTCTAGGGTGCAACCTAGTGCGCGCGCGTGCAGCATACACCCTCGGGATCCCCCACGGGGACACCCGGGTGACTGCGGTTGTATGCGGGGTGACGTGGCGGACCTCATGTGACCCAAGCCGCATGTATATAAACACACCTGGGGTGGGAACCGAAGAAGTAACCTTCTTCTCAACATTCCCACTTCAGGTAAGTAGCATAGTTCCCCTTTTAATAACAACTCAACATTCCCACTTCAGTCTAAGTGGCCAGGGATCGCCGTCCCACATCGGGGCTGCCAGTATGCACGCCCGATCCACCCCCCGTGAGGTCCTCAGCACCGGACGCTACGCCCGGACCGCCTCGACCGCGGACGCGACCCTGACAGGTCGGACCCGGAATGTTCCGGAGTCGGACCGAAGGTGGTGTTGGAGCCGGAGGTGGGATAACCTCTTGGGAATTGGCAAGGAGAAGGTGATGGAAGGGAAGTAGGGCTCCGGAAGTCAGGTTCGGAGTTCCGGGAGCCCGGAGCAGAGGTTGGGATTGTATGGATATGACACTGGCATAAACTTCAATGTGCCCATGAAGAGATCGAGATTGTTGGCACTGAAGCTCATCGGATATGGGCATTTATGAGTGAGGAGGAGGCCCACCTGGATTGAATCATCAAGGCTACTCAGTCTACATATCCTGACCTATCCAAGTACATCATACTCATTTCTGAATACCGACTCAATGTGAATGGCCACCTTCGTTCCAAACTGAAACTCCTGGAGAAGCAAGGTGACACTGGCATGCCTCTTCCCACTGCTCATAATGTGGGAGATCCTGGTGCCATGGCAGACACAGTCCAGACTCATGCCTCAACCCCTAGCAGTAAGTTGAATTCTCATTCTATTCATATCGCAGCACTTCCTTAGCATAATTAATGTAGCAGTACCTAACTCTGCCCTGCCAGACAGTATTCCAACAAACACCCAAGACCTTATAATGCTGGGAGATTGTCAGGGCACACCCGCCTGACCCGGCTCCACCCGGCCCAACCTGACCCGGTACCCCGCCGGTCCACCCTCCCTTACCTCCTCCCCCTTTCCCTTCTTCCCCCTCATCCTCCCCTCCTCAGTTTCTCCTTATCTTACTTCTTCTTTATTCTCCCTTTATTCTACATGGACGACTTTCTCTGTATCAATGTACAATTGACCCATCTGCAGCGCGCCCACCATGTACCCGGCCCGGGCACCTCGGGCGACCTCCCGCTGTGCCCAGCATGCGCGCCTGCACCGGATACCCTCGGGATCTCCCACGGAGACACCCGGATGGTTACGGCTGTGTGCGAGGGTGACGTGGCACCCGTCATGTGATCCAAGCCGCATGTATATAAACAAACCTGAAGTGGGAACCGAAGAAGTAGCCTTCTTCTCAACCTTCCACTTCAGTCTAAGTGGCCAGGGACCACTGTCCCACATCGGGCCTGTCAGTACGCACGCCCGATCCGCCCCCCGCCAGGCTCTCGGTCCCGGACGCTATACCCGGACCCCCTCGACCCCGGACAAGTCCCTGACAGCAGAAGAAGGCTTCAACTTCATCTCCCCTGCCTCCCCTGCCTCCCCTGCCATGGTGACGGAAGAACAGTACGATGACCTCCTAGCCCGGTTCCAGGAACTGCAGGCTATTGTGGAGAACCAAGTCCTTAACCATCCCCCACCTGCTCCTGCGCCTGCACCCGCGCCTATCCCTGCACCCGCTCCCACACCCGCCCCCAGACCCAAGCCACCTAAGGTCGCCCCCCCCACGCCCTTCTCGGGAGCCAGTGAGGACCTGGACCGTTTCAAAGCCGAATGTGGAATCTACTTCCACGTCCGCGTGTCCGAGTTCCCCACCGCCCTCTCCCAGATTCTCTTCGTGTTGTCCTACATGAAGGGGGGGCCGGCAGGAGCATGGGCAACGCAACGCACGATCTCGCTGTTGACGGCAGGGTCCCCGGCACTCACCATGGACGAGTTCAACACGGAACTCGACGACATGTTCCAGGACCCAAATCGGGAAGCCACCGCCTGGCAGAAGCTGGCGGCCATCCAACAGGGGAGCGACTCCGTGGACAAGGTCATCCAGGAGTTCGAGATATTAGGGCCTGCCTCAAGACTGGGTGACGTAGGGCTGGTCGACTGCTTCGAGCAAGCGATCAACGCCCGGCTCCGCGAGAGCATTTACCGTCTCCGCCCTATGCCCACCACCTGGGCTGAATGGAAACGCGAGGCCACCCTCCTCGACAACCAGTGGCGACATTTCCAGGCCACCCAGCCACGAGCACCCCCGCCTAGACCCCCACTCCCACCAACCAGACCCCCTCTAGCCACCACCCCCCCTACGCGTGGCCCACACCCACCACCTCGCAACCTACGCCCGCACCCGCACCCCCAACCCCCGCAACCCGTCCCACGCCAGGAACAGGTCCACAGCCAATGGACCTCGACCGATCGAGGACTGACCAAAGACGGAAGGGGTTGTGCTACAATTGCAACGCCCCAGGCCATGTCGCATGGGAGTGCCCGCACCCTAAGGTCCACCGAGTCCGACGCCTGCATCCGGAGGACCTACGAGCGTTGATGGAAGGGCTGAAGAGGCAATTGGGTGAGGGACCAGAGGCAGAAGAGGGAGAGATGGGGCCAGACCCCCAGGAAGAGGATTTTCAGGAAGGCGACCGGTGAGGGATGCGCCCCGGCCGCCTGTAGAAGATAACCTGTGTAAATACCGCAACGTGCGCGAGTCAACGCCACTGCAGAAATTCCATCGAGTTATCGCAAAGAAAAAGAGGAAAAGCGCACCCTCTACCCACAGAAGTGAGAGACGCCCAGAGCTGACACCTGAAGTAGCGGTGTCCCCACCCGCCATTTACGTCCTTTCCAAACAATCCCCCAGGTCACTCAACCTCACGGTGACGTTGACCGCCCTGACCTCTCTCGCCCCCGTATCAGTGTCAGCCCTCCTGGACTCAGGGGCCACCGGGAACTTCGTGAGCCCTGAGTTCATCCGGAAGCACAGGCTCGAGACCACCCCACTCCCACAGCCCATACCCGTCCGCAATGTCGATGGCACCCCGAACGAGAATGGGGCCATAACGGAAGAACTGGAAGCCCTCCTGACGTTCGGACGACATACAGAACGGGCCCGCTTTGCAGTTGCAAACTTGGGATGCCAATCCCTCATCATAGGGCACTCGTGGTTGCTGCATCACAACCCAGAGGTGGACTGGGCATGACAGAAGGTCGTCATGTCCCGCTGCCCATCCTCCTGCAGGGGGTCACGAGTGGGAGACGACCAAGACCTCATGGTAGAGCCCGGGGACGGGATCTATGCTGCGATCCTCCCCCGGGGTGGGGACATGACCTGAGAGCAACCACGATGCCATCCCAGCGGATGGCCCAGGAGGCCCACGACCTGGGGGCAGAGCCCGTGCCGTTCGAGATGTTGGTACCAGAGCACTACCAGGACTTCCGGGACGTGTTCTCTAAGGAAGCCTTTGACCAGCTACCCCCCCGGAAGCCCTGGGACCACGCCATAGACCTGGTGCCGGACGCGAAGCTACCCAGAGGAAAGACCTTCCCTCTCTCGCGACCCGAGCAGAAAGAACTGGACGAGTTCTTACGGGAAAACCTGCAGAACGGGCGTATACGCCCGTCCAAATCCCCGATGGGGGCGCCAGTCTTCTTTGTCAAGAAGAAGGACGGGTCGCTACGCTTAGTCCAAGACTATCGGAAACTGAATGAAATCACGGTCAAGAACTCGTACCCGCTCCCCCTCATCTCAGACGTTCTCGCCCGCCTTCGCAATGCCAAGTACTTTTCGGCCCTAGACCTATGTTGGGGGTTCAACAACGTCCGGATCAAAGATGGGGATGAGTGGAAGGCAGCGTTTGCGACCAACCGGGGGTTATTTGAACCCATGGTGATGTTTTTCGGCCTGTGCAACTCCCCCGTGACCTTCCAGACCATGATGAACGACATCCTCTGGGATTTCATCGAC